TCCCACGGGTAGCTGAATACCCTATATAGAAATATTTGATAGTGGAATCTTCAGATACTCTTGGTATTTGGAGATTTATAAAATATTAAAACGTTAAGGGATCCGAATAATAGTTCCAGGCCTAGTTCGAAACGACGCAACCCTGAGGCTAGGCAGGCTGTTCTATCTTTGGAGAGTTTGGCCTGCAAAGGTCACGTTCCGGGATACTGAAATTCGACTCGGTGAAAAGTATACTAACGCTACATAGTAACCGAAGTATCGCGAAGAATGTAAGACAGAGAAACAGAATTCAGTTCGATTAGTTTAGATATCAGATTCGTGGTTAAAAAAGATTTTATAATTGCAATTGTAACTATCTCTGTGCACACAAGTGTACATTTTGTTTGTATCGAAGTCGGCCATCGTGGAACTATTAGAAGCGTTGGTTTTATCTCAAAGATACTTCAAATTTTAAGTTTGTCAGAAATTGAAAGTCGAAATTTTTATAATGCTTTTTCCGTGGAGTCTTCGTTTCGAAATAATATATTTTGTAAAACATGATTCAGATGCTTAGAGAAATGCAAATCTGTTGGTAGCGGGTCAGGGGAACTGGAACGATGCGATAAAATTTCATATTCCAATAGTTTTTGTATCGCCGTACTTGATGCACAAGGTCTTGTGTTGCATTGCAAATACATAGATCGATTTCAATCTGTCTATGGAGGTTATTTTACGCACAAAATTTTTGATTTCTATGCAACAAAAAGCATAAAAATTAATCGTTATTAACTAATCTCAGATTGGATTGGTATTTTCTTTTATCCTTTCTATTTGTCTTCGCTCGATGCTTCGTTTCGCATTGTCTATAGTTATTATAATTAGAGTTATTATCGTTGAACATTCGAACGTAGCTCGCGCGGTATCCACTTATCCATTTTCATTGTCTAGCCAATCTTTTCAACGATCATTTGCGAAACTATCTTTTGCGCGATTTGATATGCACTATTTTCAGCACTTTTTTTCGAAAATTTCATTGTTCGTAATCTCCTTCAGCCTTGACTGTATTCGGTGACACGCTTTGAATTTTTAAAACAGGTGCAAAGATAGGAGAGTTTATTTTTGCATCAGAATTACATGTAAACTTAATTTCATCGAGTCCTATTCGTCTAAAAGGTTGATGATCGTGAAAAAATGTGATTATTATACTTATTGGTCAAAATTTTATATACAGGGTGGTCGATCATTCCTGCGAAAAATTTTAATGGGAGATTATAGAGGCCAAAATAAGACGAAAATCAAGAATATCAATTTCTCCATTGAGGCTTCGTTAAAAAGTTATTAACAATTAAATTCAAAACTTTCAAATCGTTCTGGAAAAATTATTTTCGGCCGTGGGGGTCAATTACAATCATTTTTGGTGAATAGACCTACCCCCGAAATACTACCCACTACCGAGATAAAAATTCGAGAAGGTGTGAAATTTTTCGACGAAATTTAACAATTTTAAATCGTTCTGAAAAAATTATTTTTAGTTGCAGGGGTCGATTACAATTATTTTTGGTGAATAGACATACCCCCGAAATCCTACACACTAACGAGAAAAAAATTCGAGAAGGTGTGAAATTTTTCAACGGAAAAAAAAATTTCGAATCGTTCTGAAAAAATTATTTTTAGTTGCAGGGGTCGATTACAACTACTTTTGGTGAATAGACATACCCCCGAAATCCTACACACTATCGAGAAAAAAATTCGAGAAGGTGAACAAACTTTTCGGCGAAAAAAAAAAATTCCCCATGCAAACTATTACTCTCAGAGACATTAAGTTTTGGTGTTTAATCAATAATTTTACAGTGAACTTGTACAACAACATTAACGAATAAAGAATTTACAAAAATACGATGATTAAATTCAGATTCGGGTTAAAATGGACCCAGAGTCCGCCATTCGAGGTTCGAATATCGAGGATAGTGGCGAAATATTTAAATTGTACATGTATTTTGTCATCAGGTGATCGGGTCACGCATACGAATGAACCGTCGCGTAGACTGATCTATAAGATCTATGATTTTTAGATCTACGATAATCTGCATGTGTACAGGTTGTTTCTTCTATCGTGACAAACGTGAATCATAATGCGTAATATTCTGATTCACCTTTGCTTATTAACGTTTCGTAATAACATTTTTTTTTTAATACTATAAACCTTCTTATATATCAATTTGTAAAAAAAGGAGTTAATTGTAATCTCTTCGTTACAATTACGATTACAACGATGTAAATGCAATTGTCGAGCAATCACATTCGACAGTTACAATTGTAATTGCAGCCAGAACCAATTAACGACGACAATGTAATCTTTAATCGCAATTAAATTAATTGATTATGCAATCAATAACAAATGTAGTTGGTTATGGCCAACTCGGGTATAAACATGTATAAATACATGTTGTGTACACGCGTTTACAAATACATCGACTTATTTGCGTCTTGGATTACCGCAGCGGTTCTCAAACTTTTCAATTCGAACTTTATTAACTATATATACATATTTATTAACGTGTGCTGATGGAACACGTGCGCAGGGAATCCGTGTAACGTGAAATACACGTGTATTTTTCAAGCTATATTATTATTGTATATGTATATCCGTAAATATAGTCCCTCGAAGTACTCGGGGGGGTTCAGGACGCCGACGTACCCGCGTAATTTTGGGACTCCCCTCCCTCTTCGTCCCTCTCTTCAAATCTCTGTTAACCGGAAACGATAATACAAGGGTTAAGGAAACAAAGCACATACTTATACATGTATTATTTACACCTTACGAAAGTACACTGTAACTTTGGTCTAACACGTCTCTTCTTGCGTTTCATTAAAAATATTTTTCTAAGGCACCGATTCATCTTCCACACTTTGCTTTAACTTCGATGCACGTATCACTGGGGGGGGGGCGGTCTATATCGTAAAGACCGCGAAAAAACCGCGTACTTCGAGGGACAACCGTAATTCGTAATCGCCTCTTCTCATTTTCTCGTTACCCGATCGTCTCGACAAACATTACGATAACATCTGTTCCAAAACACGGGCACATTAAATTAGACGGATACCCGTGTATTCGACTATCGGAATAGAGGTTAGGAATGTCCGTGTGTTCCAAATCGCATGGATTCAAATGGGGGAATCACATGGATAGCCAATCTGTTTCAGTGAAATGGACAAAATGTGCAGATTTTCCGCTCGAGTTTAAACTGGATATGTCACGGTGCCGTGCATAGATGGAAGCAGCGTATATTGCAAGGGGTCATCGACGACGATGATACACCTTCGACGACCGTAAGAGAGAGACAGAGAGAGCGAGAGGGGAGACTTTCTATGAGAATCAGCTTGACGGTACGTAAGGTCGCGTGTAGAGCTCTTGCTCTAGCTAGACAAGCACGTTGCAACGAAGGAGGAAAGTCATGGAGGGTGCATGGATCGATGGTCGGCTGGGAAACAGCTCGGTCCCGGACAGAACGGTCAATTTCGTTTGTAATATCACGCGTTCTATCACCGGACGAAACGACCACTGCGTAAGCACGTTCATCTGCGCCACAATAGTCCCCGTGCCCTTGTTTATCGTGACGGGAACGCAGTTTTTTTTTTCCCCCCGCTGTATCTCGATCGTCGAACACTTCACAGGATACGCGAAACAACCGGGATCGACGAAAAGTGTTTCTCAAACGTTTGTCCGTCGACGAAAAGACACTCGCGTCACGCGGTGTTGAGGGGCAGATAGAGTCCCCGCACGCTCGATAACAAGCAGACGAAAAAAATGGCAATTTTTAGTTGCGTTCCAACGATGACACGTTTACGGACGTGTATCGTGGGAAGAGCACTTATTTCTGGCAACAGATCAATGGAGTAGTCGAAACGTGCGACCGTGGGGATGTACGCACGAGAGCTGGAGAAAATGCCCCTAGGATGGGAATTCCGATTCGCCGACTAGAATTTTTCGTACAGGTTACTTCACTATCGATTCCGTATAAACTAACGATTGACCATCGCGTTAAACGCAATTTACGGACGGGGTAGAACGATTTTTCTCGCATCGTGAACATCGCTTCGGTGGCATTCTTTACAGCTCGTTTGCGGTACTTGGAGGGTCCCGAAAGCATGCCCGGGAAACGACGATCGCATGTTCGGTAACGAATTCGATTGACAATCAAACACTCACTACCAATGCTGAGAGTTCTCCATCGGGTTTTCCGCTTAGAACCCTTCTTGCCCATCTCTCGTGAAGACCGAGCTGGTCCTCCTCCCTTCTGTCTCTCGTCTTCCCAGCGATCTCGGCCGACTTTCTAGGACGAAAGCTCCACCGAAATCATGTCGATCGCGACAGTTCTCGCCACTACCTTCGCGGTAGCATCTTATCGACTGTTCTCCGACGTATGCGTCTCCGTGATCTTCCAGAGAGAAAAAGCTTTGGAACGAAACTCCCGACGAACAAGGCCTGCCCGTAGCAGAAGACAACTCGAATACGTAATCCACGCCGCACGAATAGCGACCGCACACTGCTGTCCCCACCTCACCCCTCCCTTACGGTCCCCACCCTGCGCCGACTGCTCCCCTACCTAACGCCTCTGTCATCTTCGACGCGTGTCGTGGCACGTCGGTTTCTCGTCGTGTTTTTCCAACACGAAACCGATTGCCCGCGAAAAACGCGTGTCCATGGATCGTTTATGCCAAACCGTACAACGTGATCACGCAAATATTGTATGTCATGCGAGCCTATGGTCGTATATTCGGCTCGAAATTTTTCTACGCTGCACGAACGTTTCGAACGGCGGCTGCCAGGCGCGTGCGTGGACACGTAGCGATTACCGCGCCGCGATTGGCTGTTGCCATGGCGACCGATGTAAACTATCGCATGCCATTTTATCCGGCTCCGGTCGAACAAGGTACGAGAACGATATTTCCGTCAAAATAGAAATCTTAGAGCGGTTTTTTCGAAATCGCACTCGTTCCGACGATCGTACAAACTTTTCGCGTGAACATCGCCGCCGCAGAAACATATTATCTCGTGTTTGAAGTCGTCACCCTACAAGTTTTCCTCATTCACGGTCTGTATTTGTAGGTTAGATAAACAGAGTACGTTTAAAACGGTTAAAGATGATGAAAATTTTGTCGCTACACGACTTCGAGTCTCCCTCGCTAGACGAAACAGCCGTTGTTGGCCTTATAGGACATGCCGTGCATTATTGTGAATACGATGCTATGCAAAGCGAGTTGAAACCTTTTGCCAAGTACATACGTCAGTATCCTGAGGTCTCGATCGCACCGGATAGTCTTACTACTCGCGAAACAGCGTGTACCGTTTGCGCTGGCGACTTGTTTCTACCGGTACATGATAGTATCTTTAAGAAAATTGCTAGCGTATGGAGGGAAAAGGGCTTGGTCGAAGCTATCTACCTTGCTGCGTCCACAGATCCTGGAGAAATTACAAAGACTATACATTGGATAGCTACAAGGTTCTGATAATGACGTTAAGCTAATCTAAATGCTTGTAGAAGATTATTACATTTTTTATTTCAGACTTAAATGGATGTTAGATTTAATGGACAAGGGAATCTATCAAAGAGAGATTTTGCCTACCAGTGGATCGGGATCGGTCGCAGATGTAGTTCAAACCAGGGACTGGAACACGTCGCTCGTAAGGAATCCATGCAATCAACACGATAAGCTTTTACGGGATGTATAGTGCACGTCTAAATATTACTTTATAGATCAGATGTCTTTCTTGGCATCCAAATTGCGCGCGATTAGCGGTAGTTACAAGGGACGATCGTATACGTATCTTTTCTCAAGGAGTACCAGTGGTACCGATACTGAGACACAGTGCTCAAAAATCAGTCTGTTGCATTAGCTGGAGGCCCTATGCTGGCAGGGAATTGGCAGTGGCGTGTCACGCGGGTGTCCTAATTTGGACGATAGAATTGGGTGCAGCTAGTAACTCCCTTAGTCATGCGGTATTGCTAAAGCGGAGAAATCATGTACCCGTTACAAGCGTTACGTGGCATCCACAGGGTGACTTGCTGGTATCTTGTTCACCGGCAGATACGAATATGATTATATGGGATACTTCTAAGAGGGAAGGTGTTCCGCTCAGACGAGTAGGAAGTGGTGGATTGTGTTTCACACGTTGGTCCCCCTGTGGATCTCAACTGTTTGCTGCCACGTGTAGAAATGTATTCAGGTATACCGACTTCCGTATGTATTTCTTTACTTTATGCGATACTTCGTTCACCGGTATACAAATCGTTGCGTACAGAGTTTGGAATACCGGGGTAGCGACGTTATGGCACGCAGATAAATGGACAATGCCTAATGGCCGCGTCGCGGCTGCGTGTTTCGGCCCCAATTTGACTCTATTGTTTGCATCGACCGAAGAGTCTGCGACGGTCTTCTCCCTACCGTTGCAAGAAAATATTTTCGATGTCAAAAAAATATCGATCGACGATCTAAAGCTTGCCGTACCCTTGATAGATCTGACACAGGTGTGCAATGATATTTCTGTTGGCGGAAGAATAGTTGCAATGGAGTGGGATCCGACAGGAAGATATCTCGCTATACTTTTCCAGGTATGATCTCTCTTACTTTCGATTCAACGACGTCTAAAGTCTTGAATAAAAAATTCTAACGATATATTTCGTACTCGTTTAGGACAGTCCCTGTATCGCATTATTTGAAACGAAAATAGGAACGATGTCGCGGGTAGTCGACGTCAAACCAGGTTGCCTGATCAAAGGATTCCCCGGAGAAGTTCCTAATTGTATGAATTTCTATCAAAAGCGCGACGAGCGCTCGCCTGTATGTTTAACAATCGCTTGGAGCAGTAGCCGTGTACAACACTTCCCTATCGTCGAGAAAGAATTAGTTCGTCCTTACTGCGCTCGTATTCGATAAGAAACGAGACACATAATTTAAATACTATGGTTAAGATAAAACTTCCATATTTACGTTTTGATACATTGTTTAATATTTGTATATATCTGTATATCAGCTGCACTCACGAGAGTCTAAATATTTTTATTACGATTAATAATAAAATAATGAATCGTACGGTGTCCTGGAGTCTTACGTCGCATTTCGTCAGAGTATTACATAACAATCTCGTAATCTGTTCCCTGATTAATTTACAGATCGTTGGTCCCTTGTTAGACTCTTCGATGCTCTAGCTTTCTAACGTATGGGATATACAACGCGACGGCTCGGGTTCGGTACCTAATTATACGAAGTCACATGCAGAGCGCACGTCTTTCTATTTTTACGTCGCTTGACCGAATGCTGAACGCCGACACGTACGTGCGTGATGCGTCCCGCACTATTTCCAATACGCTCTGTCTACTATACTCACACCGTCGCAACTCCAAACACAAATTAACCGCTCCATCGTTCTAGAAACCCCTCGTCCTAAATATATAATTCTCAAACATAGTTCATCATTTTCGGCTGACACTTGACTCACGATTTTCAGAGGAACGAATGCCACAGAAGCATGCAAGAAAATGACGAGTTTAGCCCAACAATTTAAATAAGATCCCTGGAGCATCGATCCTTGTCAATCTTCCGTGGTCTTCCTTGCTCTGACCAGCGTCGAATGACACCGATTGGCCAGTCGATAGTCCAATCGTCCAATCGCGGCCAGAGTTTGATAATTATTCATTATTCGTGGTATTATATTTATTCGGCTAATAATACGAATAGTTATTTGCTTTCGTTAATTTTGTAGCCCTAACGTATTCCCGTATCTCTGCAGAAACACGCTCGCAATCGGTTACATAGTAGTACAGTGTAACCACTGCGTGTTTACTTTTCGATTATGTTTTTTTATATCGTCAGTTTGCACAGATATACGCGAAGTCGTTCCGTGTTACGATAGCGGCGGATGTAAATACAACTTAGATAGAGAGATCGTACCGGGGCTCCGAGTATGAAAACATAGATTTCAATAGTTCAACTAATTTTTAAAACATTCACGTATATATATAATTGCAAATGAAAACTCTGATTCAACGTTCGAGCTAATGTTATTCCTGATTCGTATCAGTTCCCTGAATGCTCGTGGCGCTACCTCCGTAGTTTAGTTTCGTCCTTTTCTTAACCTATTTCTACCAAAGGAGTCGAAAGACACCTTTTAAAATTTCAACTTATTTTCTACGGTTATTTGTATCCACATAGAAAAGGTGTGAAAAGACACCTTTTGGTCGAAATAGGTATGCATAAAAGCACGATGGAAATAGTGTTAAATTGCAAAACTTACTTTCCCCGCGCACCGATTAAACGTTCGTTAAGATACCTATCCGTTCCCCTCCATTCTCTCTTTCTGTTATTGCATCCGTATGGGGTGTACGATCGAAATCCTTTTTCCAGTATATTTATTTTAATGGCAGTCGTACACATGCGGTGACTATGGTACGAACGGAGTTGACAGGTGCCTGGACAAAAAAGCGTGGCCGAGAGCGGGCATAGTATGTATAATGTAAGCATAGAGGGCTGGCAGGCCACATGTGCCACTCTATCACTTATCTACCCGTAATATGACGTATAACCCGACCATAAGATGCAACTGTGGGCGCATGTGTGTGCGTGCGTGCAGGAGTCAAGATGCACGCGCGTCTGTATACAAGGGGTGAGTAGGAGGACGCATGGAAGATGCTTCTGTGTGCGCCCGCTTGGAAGAAACTGGGAGCAACAGCTTGTAAGATAACGCTGTCGCGAGAATCGCTCTGGAATCATAACAATGCGTTTTCAATTAGGTAGCCGATGAGTGGAGTGTCAATTCGTACGTAATTCATTCGTCCTGATGCACTTGCAGTGAAAACTAACCCCCTCTAGGAGAAACTTTTAGAAAGTAAATAATAATTTACCAATGAAAAAGTAATTCAATTACAAATCACCACAATAAAATGAATTTTGAACATTTTTTATGTGTGCCTCTTTAAAATATTCCCTCTGTAAATTTTAACCGTATCTGGCATCGCTCGAGACGCTCGATTAGACTTCAAGTGCCTCTTAAATTCCAAATAAATTCCACTTGTTCGGCTACTAATCCTCGAACGTCTCGAGTTACGTGTCAAAGGCCGCCCGTTTGGCGATGATGTCCGAAACCACGGATCCCCAATAAAAGTCGGCGATATCGGGCGTATTCGCGCGAAAGCCTGAAAGGCAACGAAAGGAGGAGGAACGGGGAGGTCGGTGAAATAATAGTAGGCTGTAATAGGAGGAAGGAGTGAACGACTTGCCCTCATGTGTGCGCGCGAAGAAGCTGTTGTTAATAAGTGACGCGTGTGCGGCAGCTGGTTTTACGTTTTTTGCCCCGCACCCGATTCTCGGGGTTCGACCGACGAAAGATCGGCCTAACCACCCCCTCCCCCCTCTTCGTCTTTCTGCTTTTCACTCCGTTTGCTGCACCTCGGCTCGGAATATTTCTACAGTCTCAAAGGGATGCCGATGCCCGATATGCGATCATCGAATTGCCGAATAGATCAACACGGGACTCACGGGAGGGCCCGGTGGGCCCATTGCGTGAAAAACGTGGCGAAGATTTTGCGATGAGACCCACTGAAAGGTAACAGGTACAGTGAGGAAGATGAAGTTATAAGAATGGGTATCAGGCCCTGAAGTTCGACAATTTTTAAGAAACTTTTGATTTAAATATGTTAGAAATTTATACCGAAACTATTCGTTGTATGTAAACGAGAGAGTCGTGGTAGGGCCCAGTGGGCCCATTGTATGACAAATAGAACCCTGGCTCAAAGAAAAGGTATCGAAACTTATCGTTGTAGGAGTTATATAAAAGGGCCCAACAGGGCCTGATTTGCGTGGTGCGAGAAAATGTTGGGAAACTGAGGGAAGGAGCGCGGAGACAATCCAAAACATGATCGTTCTAGGAATGTGCGGTAAGCGGGCGGAAAAAAGGACGGCCACGAATTGGAAAGAGGCACGAAAAAGGGAGACGACAGACGTGCGCGCAGATGTGCCCCGCGCCCTAAGTCAGAGGACCGAGGGAGAAGGTCGCGATGCAGAAGACGAGCGCGTCTCTCTCTCGAGGGGGAATGAAACGGCCACGCGAGTGGGCGGCGCGTACCCTTCTCGTCGTGCTTCTTCCCTTGCTCCTCGCGGGCAAGAGAGGCCGGCAAGGGTGGAGGGGAGAGATCCTCTCGTCCGTTGTAGCGTTGTCTGCTGGAAAAACGCGGCGATGTCTTGTCCTGGCCGATAGTCTTCGTGGAGACGCGGGAACGGGTGTAGTCGGACCGGGGCCTATCCTCTTATCTCGGGGTCAGTTACATCGCGTGGCGTGGACGCGTTCACAAGGCCACCCTGCCTCTTCATCGTGATTAAGATCGCTGCCGCGCGTGCCAGGCTATCCTGGAATCTGCCATAACCGATAACAGTGGATTAGGACCTCGGATCGTTCGTCTTGTAAGTGAGGACTGTGATACTTGATCTGGACCAGCGACGCGTTAATGTGCGATAGCTCCACAGTGTTTCATGCATGCTGAGTGTAGAGTGGATAGTATCTCGTTGTCGCAAAGACATTGACTTCCTCTCGTAGCCGGTTACCGCAAAGTTCTAACGTCTCTGACAAAATTTTCAGACTTCACTCGTGCATCAAGATGCACCTCGAAGACTTCCACGCGGACAGGAACGAGGAAGACGTTCAGCGCGCCGTGTCAAGAAGCATCAAGCAGGAGGGTTTCAACTCCTTGCACCTAGCTCCGATCGCAGCTATGAACAGCAACACTCAGCAAGCCTGTTGGGCGACCTCTCACGCGGACACCGGTGTCTCCTCCCCCATAATGCCCAACAACTGCAGCCCACGGGAGTACACGGACTGGGAGCAACTGACAGCCGCGTTCCAGTACCCCTGTCAGCAGTACTCCGCCACGGACAGGTCACCGGGAAGCACGGGCAGCGAGGCGACCACGCCGACCTGGATCAACATCGTCCACAGCGACGCCTCCGACTGCTCGAACGGAAGGCTGCCGCCAGTGGGTTCAGCGTTCTCCTTCTCCCGCAGCTTCTGCAACACGGTTTACCCAGAGTACCAAGGCTACCAAGACTACCAGGAGTACCAGGACGACATGACCGTGTCCTTGCCCCTCATCTTGCACTCGCAAGCCGAGGTTCAAGGGTTCACCGGGTCCATGCAAACCGCTACGGACGAGTTTGACCTCAGTTTGATCAGAGGCGACCCCACGTCGCTGCTGAACAACGTGGACTCGCCCTCCTCGCCTTCGTCGACCTACCTGGAGGAACTCCAGGACCCGTTCTCCAATCTCAACGGGTCCTGCTACGCGGTGGGACACTTGGTGTCCGGTCAACAGTCGGTCTCAGCGATGACGTTCATCAACGACGCTGGTTTAGGCGATGGTTTTGGGAACCAGGTTGTTCTTCCTAGGAACGAGGGACTGCTGCTGACCGATCGACGCGTACCTGTGTCGAAGGCTGCGTCCGAGACGGAGAGGCGAAGCAAATCCTACGGTGAGTTATGTTATTCGTGCTTGTCGGGGAACCTGAAAAAAGTGTATTGAATTAGAATGGTATTGGACGTGCTATAGGATTTGTTAGGGTTAGGGTTAGATAGGGTTGTCCTACATCAGTGCGTCGTCAGACTCCTGATGAAGCTAGTGTCGGAATGCTCAAAACAGTGTCATCTGCAAGAAACTTAAATATACCATTTTTAATTGCAGATATTAATTTGTGTAACTTGTAAGAAATATTGTGTATTTAATATAATTTTTATTAAACGTTTCTGTAAAGCTTGAGCTTCAAGTAGATAGAATCTTGCTTACTTTAGGGTAGTTTAATTAATTAGCGTAATTTTTTTTAAATATAAGTCTCTGAGGTAGCATTACATTATTAAAGTTTTCAAACGCGTTCGAACCGGTCCAAACTCGTCCAACCCGGTAGTTTGTCGTACCCTGATGCAGTCGGGAACTCACTGAAAGGAGGAATGTTATTTTAAAAAGGGGAGAAATAAACACAGACCAATTAAGAAGCACGAACCTCTCTCGAGCACTTCCTAACAAGCGTCGCGACGCATTCCAGACTGTTCGACGGCCGACGACAACCTGACGTCGACGTACCAATGCCGATGGATAGATTGTGGCTGCGCTTTCGCGGAACAGGAGGGCCTGGTGCGCCACATCGAAAGAAGGCACGTCGAGTCCTCGTCGTCGAACGCCCACGGGCACGGGAGGCGAGTTCAGAGGGACAGGGACAAGGACAAGGACAAAGATGGCGAGGGCTTCACTGGCGCCGGAACCGGACAAGACGAGTTCGCTTGCCTCTGGCAGGGATGTCCGCGAGCACGACCCTTCAACGCCAGATACAAATTACTGATACACATGAGGGTCCACAGCGGAGAAAAACCCAATAAATGTCCGGTACGTACTTCTCAACGACGGATCTATGGATCACCAAAGTCGAGTCACCGGACGTAAACAAATACACGTGGTGGTATTTTGGCAGAACAGTTTTAATATTAATATAGTGGAACTATCAGTGTCCCCACCACCTTTCTTTATTAATTCGGATAGTAGATTATTATTTACTATTTTTCTTAACGCAAGGTTTTTGTCCTGGTCTATTTTGTTCGTTATACTACTCGTTTGCACGAATTTCCTGGACAGTAACAACCTGAACACCCTGTACATGATCGATAGTGTACTATCGTACTTTGATTAAACTTATCTATGCCACGACTTATCTGTTAGTTCGGCCTTGAACGACTCGGAATAATTGCACTCGAAACACAACTTCCTCAAGAAAACGAATTTCAGTAAAAATTGTCTGCGACAATTTACTCCTCGTTTGATGTAATTATTTTATTAAAATTAAATAAATTTTTATGTTACTTAAATTTTCTTTAATCTTTCCAGTTCACTGGATGTAAAAAGGCATTTTCGCGGCTGGAGAACCTGAAGATCCATCAAAGATCTCACACGGGGGAACGACCGTACGCTTGCCAACATCGCGGTTGTTCCAAAGCTTTCAGTAACAGCAGCGATCGTGCAAAACATCAGAGAACTCACTACGATACGGTACGTTTTAATCAATTAAATCTCCGATCACCTAACTAAACAATCTATTATAACAGTATGTAACTTAACAAACTCCAGTTGCTAAACAAATTTCCTATATGGAAGAGCAATAAATTTATTCTGGATTTCATATCTAACTAAAAGAAATTAAGTCTAAATTACTACATATTGCATACACTTAATCGTTACAATAATTGTGTTCATATTCGATGGGGAATATTTTAATATCCCAAAATGGTTTTAAACGCAAGTAATTATATTACAAAATTTTTTTGTATTCAGTTCCTGAACTAGTTGTCTCTTGATACGCGTATTTACATAACTATGCAGCTATTCCAAGGCAACAGAGTTAATTCGATGCCGTATTAAACGGTAATACATACTTGCGGTTAGGATTAAATTACAACTGAATCATGTTGGAATGTGGTGCAAATGTTTAAGCATAAGTCTTGCTTATTCCAATGAATTCTGTTGGTTTACAGCGTTTGCATGAAGATATTTATTTAAATTTGCAGAAACCGTACGCGTGTCAGGTGGCTGGCTGCGGTAAACGGTACACGGACCCGTCGAGCCTCAGAAAGCACGTGAAAAATCACTCGGAGCCCGCGACGCCGTTGCCCAGCCTGTCGGAGTCCAAAAATCCCGCCAACCCGGCGAACGCGCCGCGACGCGATCTGATTTCTACGACTTCCAGACAGCAGGCGCAAACGGCGTCCACCTTCGTCGCGGAATCGAATTATCGGTCGTATAAGTCTTCCGAGTCTTACGCGGACGAGGACGCGGACCTGTTCCAGACGAATCTGTGTCAAGTCGATAGGATTTCCATGAACCTTGAGAGCAATCAAGAGTATGTCCCGATCGAGTCTGTGAAACGTTTTCTCATCGACGACGTCAGCTGCTCGCACGTGGACGGCGCAGGTAAGGGATACATTAGCGAGAGTCAACTTACACCTAAAAATTAATTTTAAAATGGTATATTTATAAACAGTAAAATTGGATTTCAATTATCAAAATAATCTCCGTTAGCAACGATGATGATCCTCAAGTATACGTCCACCTGAAAAACCATTGTTACATAATAAAAAAAATTAATAGTGTAAATAGTAGGATAACGTGCATCAAATATTGTTCACAAGCTTCCCGAAGGTTTTACGCGATACAGAAAGTAAGATACGGGCAAGTAAAACGTCCGCCATTGTGAAATAGTTATTTTTGGAAGCTTTTCGACTTCTGGTACGTACCGTCTCGGTCCCATCGCTGGTCGGCGTCGTCCATAGTCGGAGTCAGTGCTCCTGAACCGTGGGCAAGGCGGCGTTTACAGAAAAAGTCAGCCAAAGTTGTTCTTGGTACGAATACGTTATTGTATCGCGGTCGCGCGTGCTGCCTTTTTCTGTCCCGTTGGTGAATGGCCGCGTGGTAACGACGCCGATGACAGTGCGCTAGCCCCGGGGCTCCTCCATGCTTAATCTCAGAGGAGGTTCGCCGCTTTATGCCTTTACCCCACACCGAGTCTTAAAATAATATTCCCCGAGTTTTTTGGCCGGAGCACACGCACGTACGCACGCGCCAAAACATACGACGCGGGCGCACCGCCACGTGCGACACACGCCGTATGCCCCTTTAAATTCCATGCCCCCTCGCGGCCGCGATTTTATTCATCGGAATAAAAATATGGTCGATCGGACCCAGAGGGACCCGGAGTAGGAGCCATTATACACGAAGGACAATGTTTCTGTTACAGGATACTGCGAGGAGGACGTGCCCGACTTCCAGGAGCTCGGCTCGGACATCGAGCAACAGTTCCTCGAGCTGAGCAGCCTGGACGACGCGGTGTTCATCGACGGTTAGGCGCACTATAGCGAAGCAACGAGGACAAGTTGGTTTCGTCTCGTCGTTATCCTCGTTCCTACGCTGTAATCGTGATTATAAAAGACAGAGGCCTCCCGCCACACGTGCCATACTTCCAAAGACTCGTTTTCCCTTTTTGTACTCAACTTTTCTATAGCCGCTGTTACGTTCGACGGAATCGTATATATTTTTGTACATAGGCATTTTGTATATATTATAAGCAAGAAAATATAGAGATTTTGATTATCATTTGTTTTTCACTCTCTCATCCTACTTGATACTATTGTTCTACCTCACCCATAGTACCATTCTTCTGCGAGAAGAAGGTACAGCGTGTTTACATCCCCACTCCAGTTATTGATTGAAAACGGTGACAGTCAATCAGCGAACTGCAGCACGAGTGGGGATGTAACCACACTGTGCCTTCTTCTCGTGGAAGAACCATACATAATTATATTTGTTTCAGAGTAAAACCGAAGTGTTCAAAATAGTAGTAAAGAGTTCAAATAACCAGGTTTGCTTTAACGAGTCGTTGGAGTTTAATTGAACGCTCAACTTTCATCTTGAATTTGTTGAATGCCAAGACCTCTTCGTCGCAAAAAGATTTTATTGCCGATACGAATGCAGTCGCATTTCTAATACAGAAAAGTATTTAAACGTACACCATAATAACGATGTCCCCTGACAGTGGAATTGCATGAAATATTCTCCAAGTCCGCCATGACAGTTCGTCCTACGAAGGCTATTAATAGCCTGCTATAACGACGTTTCGATTGGATAGCGACGCTGGCAGACTGCAATAGACTTTGTATAAAAAGCAACGACCCACTATAGAGAGTTTTCAGCCGGCGAAAGGGTTGAGCAACCGTTTATTTTCAAGCGGCGCTGCACTGAGTGGGCTTCGTCCCTTCCAGATTGTCGCAAATCAGTTTAAGGAAGTTGTCGAGCGCCTTCCTTTGATTCTCCTTGCTGTACACCTGGGAACGCAAGGAACGGAGAAAAGGCGATTAAGCTTTCGTACGATCCTCTCCGAAGACTACGTGCACGTGATGTTAATTACTCACTCCATTCAGCGTTATCGTTGGAACAAAGGAAAGGGGCGGTGTCAGGGACGCCGTTTTCTTCCCATTGGCCGCGTGGAGCTCCTTGGCCAGTGGGCCCGAGATACAATCCCTGATGCTATTCTGCGTCTGCTGACTCAATCCTACCGTCTCACCGCACTGGAAATGCAATTAATACTATTCGCGGACGTTGCAACCTTAATTATCAATGTTTAAACAATTTTTAAATTATACCCATAAAATTGTTTGCTTTCAATCGACCGATGTTCACAACGATGAGAAAATGTCCCCCAAAATGGGGGTGCTCGAATACATACTTTTCAATCACATAAAATTTAAACAAACTTCACTCTCGATAGGGCCCCATTTTTCACCGTCTCGTACGATGCAAATCGATCGAGGAAACTGTATTTTTTTTTAACGAGTCGTAAAAGCAGAACCAGTCGCATAATCAATCACTCGTAATGAAATGAGAAAGTTCTTGAACCCGCTTCTTTTGTCCGGTCCAGAGACCGTCGATCAACTAAATGTGAGATCCCCGGTGTATGGTTATCTCTTTATTGCGCAAGGAGTCGACGATGCGTTCAGCGATTATGGGACTGATGAATGCCCAGGCAATCATCGGGAAATGAAAAAAGATAAATGGCTACCTGGGGAACGGCCGTGGACGGTAAACTCGAGGTCATTGCGCAAACAACGAGGGCCTCGGTGAGCTGCTGGACTCTGTCGGCCGGTTCCTCATTTTGGATCGCGTGGATCGCGCATGCCTGGGCCATGTTCCCCTCGCACTCGTTGGGCCCGTGTTGGCACGTGAACTGCCATTGGCCGTCTTCGAGATTCTTCTGCTGCAAATCGTTTCGTTACCTTTGCATGAAATAGGGTAACCCCCAACTAGGATTCTGGCCATCAAAAAAATGGTGGCTTTGGACCGAACTGTTTACGATGACGCTTCACTTACCGATGCTTTTCCGTACGTAATGTAATTAACGTGAATGTTATTCTTCAAAGCATCGTACGACGGAGCCAGTTGATTCTTGATCCATCGCATGCTGTCGGGACACAATGATTCATAGTAGACGTCCACCTCAATCACCTGCTTCGATAGCCCATCGCCAGCCACCTGTACAATTATCGAGGAAATATCTGATAACCGTGTGCCTGTTTTAGGATATTCACCTTTGACTATAAAACGAACAAATTTCTATACTCTGTTCTAAACTTCGTTGATTAGTTTATACAGGGTGTTCGACCACGCCTGGGAAAAATTTTAATGAGGGATTCTAGAGGCCAAAATAAGACGAAAATCAAGAATACCAATTTGTTGATGGAGGCTTCGTTAAAAAGTTATTAATATTTATACTTCTGTTCGTACTGAATTTTTTTCTCGAAAATGGGTAGGATTTCGGGGATATGTCTATTCACCAAAAATGATTGTAATTGACCCCCCTAACTAAAAATAATTTTTTTAGAACGATTTGAAATTTTTTTCTCCGTCGAAAAATTTCACATTCTCAAATTTTTTTCTAGAAACTGGGTAGGATTTCGGGGGTATGTCTATTCACCGAAAATGATTGTAATTGACCCCCCTAACTAAAAATAATTTTTTTAGAACGAATTGACATTTTTTTTTCGTCGAAAAATTTCACACCTTCTCGAATTTTTTTCTCGAAAATGGGTAGGAATTCGGGGATATGTCTATTCACCAAAAATGATTGTAATTGACCCCCGCGACCGAAAATAATTTTTCCAGAAAGATTTGAAATTGTTGAATTTAATTGTTAATAACTTTTTAACGAAGCCTCCACCAACAAATTGGTATTCTTGATTTTCTCGATCAACGTCACGAGCAAAGTACCCGATGTTATCTATCAATTTGGAATGTCGCTAATTATATTTATCGATAATGTATTAATATTCGTTATCTCTGAAATTAAAACGTTGAAATTAAAAAATTTCCATTTGCCATTATACCGAAGCAGTCTTATTATTATCTCTGGATGACAAGAGTCTGATTAGATTCTTTGCAAACAAATAATGCCCGCGGTTTTGAACAATCGATTCCAATAACTATACAAGGCGGCTCATAATTGTATACCAATAATTCCTGGAACAAAATTACCGTGTAAAATGAAAAAGATTGCTTATGTAAACACACTATGCTAAGATTAGCTTTTGCATTAGCATTATTTTCCACTTTGCTACTTTATATTTTTAGTCTTTGCATATAAAACTTGTGCAACGAAGACGTTAAAAATAAAAGATTACGTAAAAACATTGTTTAGAAATGTGTTGGGCATAGTCTAATCTACAGCTGTGACAAAATCAACTAATTGCTCATGGTCGCCTCCGCCCCCCTATCGTGAATCACCCTAGATGTAAACTACACTCTTAAAACTATGCAAACTCGTTTGTCTGGAATACAAAGAATGTCGTTAACAGGTTTTCACAAAGATAATCTAAATACTTATTAATGTTCCTTGGTCATTATCAACGAGCGAAAGTATTAAACATTCCATACCTAAATGACGTTTATTGCTTCTACTTAAAGCGGTCAAACGATACAATAATAGAATACGCTCATAATACAATGATACACGATGCACCGTGCACTGTATTTAATTTATTATGCTCTGAAAAACAGTTTAAACAACACGTGTTCGCGCAACATATATCTTCCGTCTGGTTTACATTTTCTTTCTACACTAATAAGCGTATCAATTATGAATCATCTTGCATAGTATTAGAGCATCGATAATTATTCGTAAATAAATTATTATTTTTTTATCGTCGCGCTGAAAATCTTTTATTATTGTTGGAACAAAGAACCACCGAGTACATCTCTGTTGTAAACAGGTTTTAAATATTGCAGAACGTTCAGGAAGGAAAAAAATGATCGGAGAACCGGATTCCCTTTCATTTTAATGTCCACCGTCAATGTGCAGCGCGCCAAAATAGGAAAGTATCAGAACCCTAAATCGAACCGTGCAAAAGTATATACGAAACACTGTTTAAAAAGATACACTAAAATAAAGTAGTCTTGGACTTTCAAGGTTGAACATTTTTCAAATATCGCGTTTTATTACGCTGACATAATTAAACACGTTAATTACGTTGGTTTGCCATATTTAGAGATGTCCTCGATGTTTACTCAAATTACAGTGTGACAATTGGATATTTTTTATAATTTACTAGTGTATTAATATGCTATGACAGTAACATAAATTCAAGAGAAAAAGGAAAGACGATTTTTACTTTTAAAAAATACTACAACAACGTGCAACGCTTAAATTTGGAGGGAAAAAAGAAATATCTCCACCATTTTGTTTTACCATATTTAGAGATGTCCTCGATGTTTATTCAAATTACAGTGTGACAATTGGAAATTTTCTATAATTTACTAGTGTATTAATATGCTATGACACTTCTAATAACAGTAATATAAATTCAAGAGAAAAAGAAAGGCGATTTTTACTTTTAAAAAATACTACAACAACGTGCAACGCTTAAATTTGGAGGGAAAAAAGAAATATCTCCACCATTTTGTTTTACCATATTTAGAGATGTCCTCGATGTTTATTCAAATTACAGTGTGACAATTGGAAATTTTCTATAATTTACTAGTGTATTAATATGCTATGACACTTCTAATAACAGTAATATAAATTCAAGAGAAAAAGAAAGGCGATTTTTACTTTTAAAAAATACTGCAAGAACGAGCAACGCTTAAATTGACTATTTAAATTTGGAGGGATAAAAGAAATGTTTCTACCACCAGGAACGAGGTTATAAAATGAAAAGAGTGTAAATTCGAAACAGAATTGTTTGGAGAATAAATTATGAGGGAAATATAATTTATGGTATTGAATAAAAAGGAATGTTCTTGACTCACCGGAACACTGGCGAAGGCAACAAAGGCTAAAGCTGCGATTGCGCAGCTCGACGCGAACAGGTAGCACCGCATGGTCATTCTGGCCCGGTGATAAAGCGGGCACAGCTTTAAACCAACTTGCTTATAGCATCGTCGGGCCGATGCCAAGGAGGGGAGAGGATTTCGAAAATATAGAAGGGGCACACGCTAAGAGAGAGAGAGGGGGAAGAAGGGTTAGAGAGTAAAATGGGATAATCAATAATACGCTGTGCAATATTTTAAATGTCTCCGCACGATGCACAGTGTATCTTGCATTGTTCCTCCTCGCGACGAAGACTCGTCTTTTGGCTAATGCTGTACGAGAATCACGACGCGTTTCGTTAATGAGGAAGTTCAATGAAACCTGTTTTCTCGGAGCCAACGTCGAGAAATACCGTAGGGCATTATGAAATTTAAATGACCGTTTAAGGCAACTTTGAAAACTAGTAATTCTGGTCCAAAGCAGAACTGTCAGCTCCTAACGTAACCTAACAATATTCGAAACGATAAATCCATATCGTTTGCGTTAAACGAAGCAATACGAATGAAAAGCTATGTATCGCCAACAATTAGCTTATCTTGTTTAAATAGGCTGAGAGGTCGTTGACAACGTTGTTGATATATTTTTATAAAAGTTATTGAATCGTACGTGGTGCCTCCACGAGAGATACCACTTTTATAGTTTTTACGCCTACATTAGTCAGTTATCGGTTGATTCGAACTGTGTTTACATTTCGAATAAAAACACCGATGAGAAAACCTAGGCTAGAGGAAGGTACGGGTACAAATAAACAGACTGCACCGAGTGAAACGTTATTAACACATTTCTCTAGTTGCAACGTGGACGTGCAGGTTGTTTGCCCTCCGTGGGGAACGTTTCGAGTAACCTAACAATGTGTGAGTGAAACGCAGGTGTCTACGACTTTCTCGCTGAAAGTGAATGTTTTGTGTCACGAATCGCCGATGCACGGGCTGTTCGCGATCTACGTAATTGCGAACATCGTGAAACTTGATCAAAATTCACGATGTATATTTACAGAGCATAACACGAATCTGGCGCGTGTTATTAAACACAATAAGCAGGCTTGACTCTTTACAACTACTTGTGTATAAAATTCTCCGAAGCCAAACCTTGATTTAACAAATTGTGGACGTAACGAACAGAATTTCACGGGCCTGCGTCATTACACGCTTAATTTATTCGACCTTCGGTTCTTCCCTGTGTTATTTTTAAATTGGATAATTTCTTTAGGTCTCCCGCCTCGATCTAACACGTCCTCGGTAAACGGTGTTAATCTCTTGCCAGTATATATTAAAATAAACACGAAAGATTACCGAGCAAACCATTTTGCCTCCGAGTAAAATAAATATTTCCATGAACAATATTTTACACCGTGTCATAGATCGTAATCGATTAAAAATGGAAGGGAAAAAATTCAAAATTTGATCGATAAATGACAATGTATTCATCTATTCCTATTAGGTACTTTGAACATTAATTATTGTATATACATTTCCTTCGCGCAATGCGTTAGAATAAATGCAAACATCAAAATTGATATTTCATTTTGTTCACAAAACAAAGTCGGCGAGTTTTAAAAATCTACAATTTTTTTAAATATTTCTTTCCTATACAGAAAACAATTTCGATCGGTAAAACGCAATTACAAATCAATGCCCTGGTGGAATTTTATTTGCTTCTTGTATTTCTTTAATTCGTTGAACAACAATTCCGCACGTTGTTGAAAAACAGTTGCTAGGTCTTTATTTTTCTGCACACCGTCACCTTGTTTATGCATTATAGCTATATTACTACAAGCATAGGGATTCCCCATTTCGCAACACTTTAAAGACAGCTTGTAGGCTTCCCTCGTATTTTTATCAACGTGTCCCTTTATACCATTTAGGTAAATGCTCGACAAATGAAAGCAAGCTTTCTCTTCCCCCAAGTCGCAAGATTTTTTAAGCATTCTCACTCCATCTGCGACCTGAACAGCTCTGTCTTTCTCCAGTTCCTCCGAGGTTACCGCAAAAACACCTGCATGATAGCAACCCTTTGTATCATCGAGGTCGCAACCCTTCTTCAGATATTTGTACGCCTCTTTAACGTTTTTCTCGCATCCTTTACCTATTGTGTACATATTGCACCTTAAATATAAGATTCCAATAACATCGATCGTGCGTTGCATGTAATTATTAACATTCAAAGGGCACCGCCACAAAACGGAAAATAATAAAACTATTCTTATCGAAAACGCGCCGTCGCGTTTCAAATTTCGCGGGACACCGTGCACTCCATCTTGGGAAATGCGCGAGGTACGAAACTTACCGACCAATGCGAAATCTCCATACTTTGTACAACTTCTGGCATAATTCATATCATCGCAAGTCTTCTTGTATATATCAGCAGCCTCCTTATTGTCGGTCTTAATACTTTCGTTGTAGTCGCCCAACAAATGACAAACTACGAAAACCAGCAAAATGTTTGAATCGAGAGGTTAGGATCGTTCGCGGCGCAGTGCTTTTACCTTCGGGATTTTTCTCGCTATAGCAACCGAATTGATATTCGATATAAAGATTTTTCAGATATTCTTTGACTTCTTCGGCGTCCTTTAAGTTATAAGCCATATCGGGTAAATACAAGCATATACTCGACACGAAAAATACACTCGGTGACACAAATTCGTGCCCTATGAGGGAAATCACAGGCACATTTATTTTTATCATTTACAATGTGCTTCTTGGTTCGCGGACGACCCGTTAGATGGTGTTATTCAAACTTTCGAAACAGCACATTGCACTTGTATGCATTTTAAACGATACAAAACATATGTGTGGACAAAGTTTGAAAATAGGTCCTCAGAAAAAATTGTAAGAAAGAGGAAAGAATATTTTGAAATGTTTTTTAATTAACTTGGTTTTATAATCTTTATGTTTCGAGAGAATCTGTAGTAAAATTTAACAGACTAACACCTAACAGATTAAAATCTAATTCACAGAGGAGATGTACAATTTGTATAGTTAGTTATGATATTAGAAATACCTGTTACGGTATTAGGAAACAGAAGATGCTTGTGACGATAGCTATTTCTCGACGAACTTGGTCATTTTGCCGTCGATGGCGGTGTAATCGTTCATGTAACAGTGCACTCACTCTTTTTTATTATGGAAATAAGCTTTGAAACGTTGGTAATTGAATTGTTAGGGAGAAAATAATCCGAATACGAAGCACCGACACGGCTAACAGTTCCAAACTCTGTGCAAACATGCAATGGCACACGGTTTCGATATTTGATTCGAGACGACCTATCGAACGATAGTCCGCCGTGCGCGCGCATTCCTGTGATTTTTCGAACAAGCGCAAGTCTACGACGAAGGTGTCGGTAATTCACAACATTGGAACTCGCGTGTCAGTCCAGGTGTGCTCGTCATTCGGTACACTGTACGTTTCGAATTACACTCTTAAGACACATGAGAACGTACACTATTGTGATTACAGAACAATTCATATGTCGAGAAAGAAATTACGTGCTCCGTTGAAGTAAGTAGTGAACGCAGCCTCGATTGTATACGCGTTTTATGCCAAAGTTTTGTCGACTTGTTCATTTATTATCGTTTTGTTCAACGATTCAACTTTTCGTTAATAACCTCTCAAAATTATCACGCTACTGTTGTCTATTATTGAAATTGTATTTTTTCAAAGCACAGTTAAATTTTCATTCGCGTCGCACGTTTCATAAAAGAACTTTACGAAGTTGTCAGTGCAACAAGGAGTTTTATAGAACACCTGTTCAATTCGCAGCGCCACAAACAGCTGTTAAAGAAACCGATCACGATATGCAATTACATTCATTTGTGTGCTTCATTCGTTAAGGGCTGTCATTATGCACGCATACAAATAACAGCAGTGAATATAAATTCTGGCTAAAGGGAAATAATTATATTTCCGTTATTGTAATATTTTAAAATGTCAAAAGTTTTATACACATTACGATTAACGATAAGAATATATAAAAAAGAAAGCATTTTCAAAATTTACAATTTGAAGGTTAGTCGTTAGATGGCGGTAATGGTATTGTCAAAAAATGTCATTTTGCAAATAATTTCACGAGATTTTTTTTTTAAATCTTATTTGCTACGCGGTTCAACTGGCCGCTATAGGCGATAACTATAGCCAACGTAAGTGTTCCTTCTACTAGGTCAAACTTGAGACTTTACTCGGTTAGGGGGTCGCCTTCTTATCTACCCTCCGTGATCAGAATTCATCTACATATAAAGTGCCAACGCAATATAAAGCACGCGGAACGAATGTTACACGCGTTGAACTTATACTTGGGAACTTCATTCTTCAAGTTCCGCGATATACCGAATGGAAATTGTTGATCGTAACTATCGCGTCACGTAACCTTTCTCATAAACACATTAACAAAGTCTGTACGGGTTATAGTAATTCTATTATTCACCCGCCAGACAATCGAGTTTCTTCGATATTAATTAATTAAATACGCATCGTTCTTTTGGCTGATATTGGGACACTCTTATCGGCGCGTTTACATAACGATGGCGGATAGTTACGAAGGTTTCTGACTTTCTCGTCATCGTCGTCCTAGAATTCTTGGAAATCGGCTTGCAACAACTAATTATTTGAACGATCCACGGAGCCGGACCCACGCACACGGCTGCCCAAGGATCTCTATTCACGGCAACTGGCAATAAAGCGATTTCAAAACCACGAGATCCTCGCGACCCTTGCTTGCCTACACCCAATTACCGCAGGTCATCAGCTTCATTGCTCTTACTCAAATCTGTATTGCACATCGTCGTTATTATATACCCGTTGTTACCACACAGTTCCTTGCAATAAATCAATTTATTTTCCAATTCATCATACATCCTTTCTTCACTCTGGTATTGCAATGGTTAAAATCGACTTGTTATTCGAAATAACTTTTGACCAACACTGGTATACTGTTCGATTTTATCTTCAGTCGTGTTTAAAGTGTCTTTTATCTTATTTGTGTATTTTGCGTTTTTTCTGCTTGATCGACGACGTCCACATTTTGTGAAGCACCCTGTATAGCACTGTCTGGTCGAGTCGCGCTTGGCAAACTCGATTCCAGCACAAAAGTGTGCGCGTACGTCATAATTCGGGGTGATTCAACGCGTAACCGGGTTCAAGGGCAACCCATACATTTTCGGTGGCGCACCGATGAAACACTTAACGACCAAAAACGAGGGTGCTCTTGAAAAGCACAATGCCCAGTGGCGTCGGCGACAAGGGCGTCGAAAACGACGGAATTGATTGAATCCGTGATTAGGGACTGTGGAAACATCTGACGGCGGCCATTGATTTATCGACGCCGATCCTCGTCGAGATAGCGTCGGCCTCCGTGTAATTTCTCTAGGCATTTATTTTTTTTTCTTTTCTTTTCGAATATTTCAAAATGTCTCGCAACCGTACGTCGCATTTACATCGGTTACGCGTACATTTTTTTATATTTATGTCCAAAGATATGATCTGGTTAAGCATCCCGGGTAAAATCATTGCAATATTCATGAATTTTTAATTTACAATCGGATTGAAATTCATATTAGATATGTGTAGTGATAGCGAGTGAATTATTGCGTTGGATAAAAAGTCTCGTCCATTTAAAAGACGACCAAATGCAATTAATATTTTCAACTTTTTTTTTTAAAGTATTTGTTAAATGTTAATTATTAGATTATACTTGATAGACTTTTTGTACGATTCGATAAACGAAGTATTTTAACAGAATTGTCCCCCTGCGATAACCCCAAATTACACGTCGATTTTACGTATGACAAATTGATTGTTTGCTCAGGGACGATGTTTGTTGACCACACAAAGTACACGAAACCCATGAAATAATAAATTGAAAAATGTTTTTTTTTATACCTTGATCAACGACTGATTGTAAAATCTGAAATAAAGCAAAAAATTGGACCAGATTGAGAGATCAAATTTGAAGTACCCCCTTCCCCATTCCCCTCAAACAAATAACAAAAAAATTAATTATATCTAGTATTGGCCAACATCATCCTTAATACTTAATTTGTGGGGGGAAAAAAATTTTTCAAAAACATTTTGTACTATTGCACGTGGCCCACCCTGTATACTCGGTTCCCAACCCCTTCACGTTCAGACCATGAGTCCCCTCCCTCGGGGATTCTCGCCTCGAAGGCCATCTTATAGGTAGCCAACACTCGACTCGAATCCTGACCGCGGACACGGCCAGTAGTCCAACTATTGTTCTCTTTTATTTTTAGATGAGCGAGTCCGTGAGAGTGGCCGTGAGATGTCGGCCGATGAACGCTCGGGAACTGCAGCAGGGATGCAGGGTACGTCGTTAGAGGATGACGGAGGAACGTGCACCTTGCGTTTAGCTTCCACGCGTGCACCCAGGCCGCCAGCCAGTTTGCACCGTGTGCACTTTCGTTTATTTCTCGTTTTGTTTATCCGACGAGGTGTGTGGAAAACTCGTCGCCATATCGAACGCGGTGTAGCCTAGCGACCGTATCAAAACACGCGACCAACGGCATGCACCGCAGCTGCAATTTTCCTGCTAGGCGATTTTCCAGAGACACCACAGGCTTTCGAGATACTTGAGGCTCATAGAGTTCTTGGACTCCAGCTTAAACGAATGAAGGTCTCTTAGGTCTATGTGATCTTGATATCTCCATTGCAAATCTAGTTTGATCGGACGAAGCATGTAGCTTTGATTTTAATTGATCTTCATAGCTGCGTTGAGCAGACTGACTCTAGCTTGACCAGATGAAGTCTGCAGCCTGGGTGTACAATAATCTCATTGCAAAGATTCTTTTGTGTATGCTTCCTTATGATGATTTGACTCTGGTTTGATCAGATGAAGCACGTAGATTTGATTTTAATTGATCTTCATAGCTGCGTTGAGTAGACTGACTCTAGCTTGACCAGATGAAGTCTGTCGCCTGAATGTACACTACTCTCATTGCAAAGACTATCTTTTGTGTGTGCTTCCTTTTAGCATATGTTGTTTGACACTGTAGTGTCCAATGGTTTGACTCTAGTTTGACCAGACGAAGTCTGTACATTTGTCTCTAATTGATCTCTACATCCACATTGTAAAGGCATCTTTCTTACAAACCACATTGCGTTTGGTGTAAGTTTCTACTGAATCTGGAGGTTCAGTTCTCGTCTGATCGTCCTCAAGTTAAACCTATTTTGATTTAAATTACATTTCGACGTGTGAAGCTTCTGGTCCCCCCTCTTAAGTACTCATAAATGTCACAATGGTCTCGACAACGAAGTACCGAGAACGAAATTGCTTCGATTATGTACTTGGTCATACTACGAAGTCGCACACACGTACACCTAAATTCGTATGCACGATCTTATATGTGTATGTGTGTGTTCTCGCGCCACTGTGTCACTCACGTGTATCGTCATGGATGAGCGTAGCAGAGGTGACACGACTGTGCCCCCTATCGATTTGACATATATATTTCTTTCCCATCGATAAGCACGTGGACGTACATACGTAAAAACGTACGCGGCGTTGGCTCGATACTGCTATCTATGCACCGTGTGTGCACCCCGATCGCCGATTCCCTGGCTAGCGTGCAAACGTTCCTCGTACCTCGCTGAATATATTATGGAATGGTAAATTTAACGACGACTTAGGGCTCTCGTTGCCCAGCGATAGACCGTAGGAGGAAATGTTGATGGACGTCCAACAAAGGCGTGCATTCTTCCGAGTTTGAAGCCAAGACAGGCGACGTTGATAACGCGAGCAAGGCTCTGACAAGGCTCATAAAGCCACTAAATCCCTCAGCGAGAGAAAAGATCGGTAAACAGTGCCACCTCGATATAAGAAACAATTACAACCCGGTTACAAGGCATACTACTTGTCCACCAAGATAACATTTTCTACAGAGATATGCAGTGTCCCAGACTACCCGTCCGCCATTTTTAACCCCTCAATGCTCTCCCATCAACAACGATCAGTTCTCAGACCAACGAAGCCAATATTCGTTATTGGAGTTGATCGCCTAAACGAAGAACGCGTATTTGCCATTGACCAGTACAATCCGGGGATTCCAGATCTGTACTATCGACACTCTGGACAACATCCAGGTTATCGATGGACGGCCATGTCAAGTGACCAATGTTTGGTTAATCGGCATTCTGCTGTATCGTTAAACTTTTAACACCACGTCGCCATGTTTTCGCGAGTTTTTAGCTTTCCCGGGCTTCCGAATGTAAGCCACGTAACGAAAACTTTCGAAAAGGACACGCAGCTTATACCCGGAAGCCTCCTAAACTGCGATCTCTGATTAACTTCTGCGAACAGATATATAAAAAAAAAAAATTGATAGCGGAGTTTCCGTTGAGTTTACCATTTCTGCGAAACCGAATCGATACGGGCGCGAACTATCGTCGAACCGATGCCCGCGAGTAATGGACGCGTTCCGCTAATGCGTTCGATGTTATTCCAATGTTGCACAACATTCCCGCCTTGGGGTAATCGATCGACTAGTTTCGCGAATAACTTATGCTCGGTCTGAAATAAGCATATTTTTTTATCCGCCTATGAATTATTTTGTACGACACCTTGATTTACTGCGACATTTACGTTTCTGTGTCGGTCACACGTGTCGAAGGCGATAAGAACAATTTCAGAACCGGAATTCGAGTCACAGTCACGGATAGCAATTATCTATATTGCCAAAGGATGCGGAGAGATCTGTCGAAAAGGGAACATAAATAACTCATTTGGTTATGAAGATATGAAGCTCAAGGTCGTTTCAAGGATACGTTATTGCACGTCACTGAACGTCGCGTGCACGATACTATCTTCAAAAAATAGAGGATAATTCTTAGACCGAGAACAAATCCTTCTTTCAAATTACGTCTAAAATTATGTGTCAGATCAAGATAAATTGACTACTCAAGGTTATTCCCACTGTGTATAACTCTTTTATATATCTTCCATAAAGGCAAGATATCTGGGAGGCAAAAGTAATACCTGGCTAGTCGATTGAAGTAGTTTCAAATAACTTAATCTGACTTAGTTTTCTAAAACGCGGTGGTAACCACAGATGAATAGAGGAATTGAGAACCACTGATCACAGAACGGATGTAAGTCAAGTGGAAAGCAGGTATAGCTCGACAAGATAAATAAGGACCCTGAACTTACTCTTGAACTCCATAGTCTTGCTTCTTCCAAGCATCATTTGATGATATCCGTTAGCCGAGCTATAGACCTAGGCGATGATCCACCATTCGCCTCTTCACCCAACTAGTTGAGCTACAAATACAGTAACCAAGAAAGCAGTGTCAAAAACATTGATCACTCAATTAAACTAACTTATGTAGTCCACACTACAGACCCTAGTATCTTCGACTCTGTTAAGATCTGTAGAACAACAGACCTGTAAACTAGCCTTACAACAATAAAATAGTGTTTCACCTACCTTAATTCCACATCTACACTCTGTATGCTCACTCACACACTAGTAATCACACCTCCACAGAGAACACTTATACAAATGTTACCATACCTTCATACTCATTAGCTTATCTTCTCAGAATGTAGTGACGATCGACGGCCTGACAAAATGCTGCACACTGGAGTGTCCAGCGGGCGGGACCGGGAATGGCAAGGTGTACCAGTTCGACGCAACCTTTGGCCCAGAGGCCAGCACCGAGACGGTGTACGAGAACGTTGGGTCAGTGATCGTGGAGGCGGTTCTGGACGGTTACAATGGTACAGTGTTCGCCTACGGGCAAACTGGCTGCGGGAAGTCGCACACGATGCGTGGATTCATCGAGCGCACCTTGGACCACCTCTTCGAAGCCACCTCGACCGCCAGCTCGGAGATGAGGTACCTGGCGTTGCTCAGCTACCTGGAGATCTACAACGAACGGTTACGAGACCTGTTGCAAGACGGTATGAGCGACCTTCTGACCCTGAAGGAGGATCCAAATCGCGGGACGTACGTGGCTGGTGGTTTGAGGGAGGTCACCGTCAAAGATGCAGCTGAGTGCGCCCGTTTGGTCGAACAGGGCGACAAGAGACGAGCTGCTGCGGCTACCAAGATGAACGCAGCCAGCTCCAGGAGCCACGCTGTGTTGACGTTGTCGTTGGAGACGCTGGCCATCAACGACGACAGCAAAACGGAGAACACGGTGAAGAGAGGCAGGCTTCACTTGGTGGACCTGGCTGGCTCGGAAAGACAAGCGAGGACGGGAGCCACTGGCGATCGCCTGAAAGAAGCAGCCAGTATTAATTTGAGCCTCTCCGCTCTAGGGAACGTGATCAGTGCTCTGGCCGCTGGCCACGGGCGACACGTGCCATACAGGTACGTTGATTCATTTTTCTAGTCTTCTTTCTACTTCAATACTACTGTTCTTATTGGACAACCCGTTAGTTTGTTGAAAGGCAATCTACGTATGTAAATCGGAACAAAATCAATTGGCCGCTCAAGACCACTTTCTGAACTATGGCTATGACGCTCTAGGTACGACCTTCACATTTATACCAATGTAGCATAAACTAGGAAGTTAAAAAAAAACTTCATTCCTAGCACAGCTAACTGATATTGCGTGTTTCATACAAACGGTCATTCTTTTAACGATGAAACGGCGGGCTATACTACCGGTATAGTGGCGATAGCTGTTCGCGATCAATAGGCTCGAGTGGCCAATCGATTCTATCCAGACACAGCAGTGTAGCCGATTACTATCGCAATATTAGACTAGCTATTCGATTCGAACGATATCGATGACAAATTAAAAGTCTCTTCGAACTTATCTTGCAGGGATAGTAAGCTGACGAGACTCTTAAGGGACAGTCTGGGCGGTAACGCGAGAACATTGATGATCGCTTGCGTGAGCCCCAGCGACGTAGACGGTGAGGAGACTCTAAGCACCCTTAGGTACGCAGCCAGAGCCAGATGTATAAAGAACAAACCAGTGATCAACGAGGATCCAAAGGATGCTCTGTTGAGGCAGTACCAATTGGAGTTGCAACGTCTTCGCAAAATGCTAGAGTCGGGTGACCAGTCGATCATAAAGCAAATGCTTGGGAAGGAAGAGGACGACGACGAGCGTCCCGGACCGGGAGAATTGGAGGAGGTCGAGAGACTGAAGAAGGAATGCGAGAATTCTCATCTGTCGGCCCAGAGGCTCCGTGAGGAACTGGAGAATCTCAAGTCCCGCTACGAGGCTGGGGTAATCAACAACGCGGTTCCCAAACCCGTTTCCCAACAGCCAATGGACGAACAGGACCTGGAACGCGAGGAGAGACGGAGGAAAAAACGCGAAGCCGCGATGCAAGAAGTGTTGAAGAGGCTGGAGAAACTGACTATCGGTGGGGAGGAGCAAGCGAACACGGAGTTGAGGAGACGCCGGGAGAAGAGGAGAAAAAAGCTAGAGGCTCTTGCTTCGGCGTTAGAGTCTAGCGCCCAAGAGGGCAACGGAAGTGTCTTCCAAGTCTACGGTCAGCTTAGGTGCGTTGTACATTTAAGTTGATCCGAGGGAGTCAAAACACTGTAGTATAGTCGGAGCAGAGTCATTTGGTAATGTTACTCTAGAGTCTTTGTTACTGGTAGTGAAACAGTGTGTTGAGGAAGTCAGGCACCATCGGTGGGATAGTCTGTACGGAGTAACTAAAGAGTATCGTGAGATAGACAAACAGAATCGTGGGGTAGACAAACAGCATGGCGGTGCCTAACTCCTCGGTGGCCTTAATTGGCCCCATTGAGTTTAATTCGTACATAGTAGGACGTTGAACCACGCGCAGAAACTACAATGACAAATTACATTAGCGTGTCGACTGACTGTGCTCGTAAACAGGTCCACGGAAGACGCTCTGAAGCGGATGGCGAAACGGGTGAGGCAACTGGAGGTCGAGGCGGCCGACCTCCAGGCTTCCTGGGACGCGGAACGTCGCGACCTTCTGCGCAGAGAGCTGCTGACGACTCAGATCTGCGACGTGATGGTCCCCCATCTGCGACCCGGATGTCCGTTTCGCGACGTGGCCGCTGTGCGCGCCGCGGCTACGTGGTGCGACGAGCTGGGTCGCTGGCGACTACCGGACGTCTCCTCGCCCCACATTCCTCTTCCTCCGCCGTCGCTGGTGCCCAAGGATAATAAACCGTACTCCATAGTGCCTTCCACCCCTGACCTTAACAATAATAGCAATAGCAAAACCGCCGAGGACGAAGTGAGCAACGACGCAGACAACGAGGAGAGCAGCGAGGAGGCGAAGAAGCTGGACATCGCCGACACGTACTTCCGCCGGAACAGAATCGACAAACTTCTGGCGCACGTCAGGGAGGCTAAAACTTTTGGTAAATTACCCTGGAAAACAGAAATATTTTATTCCTTCTGTTCAACTAATCTACACTTTGGGTTCTGGTTAAACGCAACAATCAGATGATGTCTTTAGTTGTTTAAAGAACAGATCGTGTTTCGTTCTATGTTGTTGCTTTTAACATTGCAGAGCTGAATAATCGGATTAGCAGGTCCGGCGGTTCCGAGGACTCGATTCCGGCCGGAGGCAACTATCTCCAACTGAACGCTCTTAATCTACAAAGTAGCGCGCCGGTGACTGGCGATGCGGATGCCTACAAACCTACCCAACGTCTGCCAACTGGACGTTTCACTCGACCGGGTTGGATGGCGGAGGAGAACTCGCTGAACAAATGTCCCTTCCTCAACATGGCGAAGAAGAACCCCCCGCGGATATTGGAGGCGTTGCCCTCCTACCCACAGGGTACAAACGGGACCATTAAGTTTGGGAATAAGGCTGTGTCGGAGAGGATATCCGAGAAGCTATCGACGAGGCTGATCCAGAACGAAGCTGTCGAGAGTCGACCCACGTTGGTCGGGCATGCACGTTCCCCCACGTATTGAAGGATACAACTACGATGGAACCTTGAAGCTATGGATCAGGGAGACGTCGATGGACGTTCACGAGGTACCTTCGATTGAATAATAAAAATATCAGATCGCGTTAGGGTGGTTGTCGCGGATTGCTGAAAGAATAGGGTCTATTCATTTCCTCAATGTCCAGATTTTATGGTATACCCTGTACAATTACTGAGAAATTTTGCCCAGGGCCATTCGCGTGCTATTAGAGGCATTTGAAATGGTATAACGAAGCTGTATATACTTCGACGCGTGACCCATTAAATTGCTTTCTACGATATCGTTTTATAGAACTGACCTGGTACGTAAGAAGTTTCTGGACTTTCTCATAAAAGTGATGGTAAATTAACTTCGGTTGTACTTCTTTTCAGGAAGTCGTTCTGAAATACGTACAGGCTGTCCTGCGACGAGTGGTGTCACGAAGAAGTCGATAGTTCGCGTAAAAGCCAGAATAAGACGAAAATTGAGAATACCAATTTGTTGATGGGGGCCTCGTTAAAAAGTTATTAACAATTAAATTCAAAGACTTCAAATCGTTCTGGAAAAATTATTTTCGATTGCGGGGGTCAATTACAATCATTTTTGGTGGTTAGACATACCCTCGAAATCCTGCGCATTTTTGAGAAAAAAATTCGAGAAGGTATGAAATTTTGCGATGGGAAAAAAATTTTCAATTCGTTCTGGAAAAATTATTTTCGGTTGCGGGGGTCAATTACAAACATTTTTGGTGGATAGGCATACCCCCGAATTCCTGCGCATTTTCGAGAAAAAAATTCAATACGAGCGGAACTTTTTAACTTTTTAACAAAGCCTCCATCAACAAATTGCTATTCTTGATTCTCGTCTCATTTTGGCCTCTATAGATCATGGAATTCATCTTTTTATCGGTTAAAACACTGTACATTAAGAAAAATTTCGAGGTTACCTTGATAGCTCTGGACATATAAAATACGAAAAAAGTGAAACGCTTCGAATCCCATCGAATGGAAAAACAAATTATTTCGAACAATTGTTATTGACAAACCCTGTACATGATATTAACAACGAGATCTGCCTTCCTGTGTTGGGACCAAAGTCGCCGGTCGCATCGTCCATCTTAGGAATTGTCGAAAAAGTATGAATATCATGGGATTCATGGGTACCGTTTCGTAGACAATCTTCGAGCTGGAACGATCGCGATGATTTACTTTCGACGAAACTAACCCCGTTGGTTACTGTTGCATAAATACACTTGTACGCTTCTGGGTCTTTTGCAATTCGACACACTTTTAAGGGAACGTTGCCCGATAAAAATTTCCAAATCGTCCGAAATAGGCGCGATGCAATCGCGTGCGTATAAAAAGGAGAAACTACGGGCAAGAAAGTCACGCGACGCGAGAAAAAAAAAAATGCGTAGTTAGAGGAACGGCCGTTTGGCGGAGCATTTTCGGCGCTCGTCACGTTAGAACGTTTCGACCAGGGACGTGATAAAGCGAAATAAAAAGGGGCTCCCGGTAAAAGGAATTAATTATATGTCTTGTCGTCGATATTTATTTTTATAGAACGTTTCCGGTCCTTTTGTTCGAGTCAGCCTCGCGAAACTGAAATGAAACTCTTGATTCGACTGTGAGACATATAATTCCTTTTGGTAGAAACATTGTATAGTAACGAATAAAAGATCGATACGTGTTTTTGATAAGCAAATAATGAGAACAATTTGACGAAGTCGTTGTTGATCGTTCGGATGACAGTAATTAGGTCTTTTACCATGTCGTTCGATCAAGGCCGCCACCTTTCCGCATTGCAACGTCCGTAGATTGCAGGACTCGGTGACAGAGGGCGGTAGTAAGGTCGGAAAGCTGCAAAAATTTGTTGGTAGGTTAATCTGTTTACATAACTTGACAGTTACCGAACCTGCTTTTCTGCGAATCAAAGCAACATGAATAATAATGGTTTTCCATTGTCCTATTGTTTTGTTCCGCGGGCGTGCTGGCGTTCTGTGACACATTGTTCTGCAAGTATGAGAATCACTATTGTGTATTGAAAGAAATGTTTGAATGTTCCACTGTACTAATGAAAATATCTTGTAAAAAAAAGTTGTTCAACGATCAGTATTCTTCGCCGTAGTAAATTGTGCTTTAAAAAAAAAACAAACCGAAGGTGATCTAAAGGTCTACATAATTAACGGTTTAAGAAAACCATTCTTATGTTCTAGTTTGAGCTATCCTCTTCCTAAACGAACAACTTCCTTGTCTCTGCAGCGATTAAATAATGAATCATGCGTGTACGTTGAAAGGACGTATGCTGTACTCTGAGACGACGATCAAGAACTGTTTTCGTCGTATATTCGCTGTGTCTAGTTACAAAGAGTTGTACAAACTTTAAATTTTTTTACAAATCGTCGAGTACTGGTATCCAATCATGTTTCGTTCAGTTTCAAATACATAACTCCTATTTTTTTATACGTCTAGCAAAGTAATCGTCCCATTTCTATTTACATCCGTTCTAATTGACTGGAAACCGGACAGACATTCGAAACCGATAACCGAGTCTCCGTACGAATACCGGAAAGATGGCAGCACTATATTTATCTGCGATTGTACATAAAATGAAATAAAAACAGCAAATGAGTCACGATTTCCTTCTCTGTTCGTGTCACGTTATTTTCCTCTACCGAGAAAAATGTTATTACCGGTGATCAAAGAAAATAATAAACGCTTATAATAAGTTGTTTTGTGGAACAATTAAGACGTAAATGCGTCACAATGTTTCGCCTCTCTTAAGTTGTTATTCGTTTAAATGGTATAATAAAGTAGAATAATAATTATTCTGTAGGCAAATAGGTTAATAAATGCCTAGATCTATTAAGACACGTGCAATTAACGAAGTAAATAATGCCTGACGCGTATGATCCTTTTAAGCCTAGGAGCATTCGCTGTTAACACTTCGACGGCCGCTGTCACGTATACGTGACTTTGTGAGCCAGTAGACGTCGGCCATTGTCACGTAAGTACGCGTGATCTACCATATCAGTCACAATTTTATCATACGTTTGTCGATGTTACACATTTATAATAGTATTTCTAGCATATTCGTGAACTTTGGTCTGCAATATCAGTGGTGATAGACAACGATGATCGCGTGATACGTGCGGCCATTAAAGTGTTAAGATCCAGCGGTGTCAGAACAGAGGCGATCGACGATCGAGCATCTCCTCTCGAACCACCAGAGAAATTACAGAGTACCGGCTACACGGGTTCATTGAGCAGCCGAGTGACTCTCTCCTAAAATAACGCGCTTACTTTCCACCGATTCTGTGGAAAAGATGGAGCCCGTGAACCGCAACGGCGTCTGCATAACGCGATGCGCGCGGTCATTCGGGCCCGATAATTGGGCTGCGCGATTACGTTCCCCAAGCGAATTTTCATTCCTAATGGCTACCCTGCCGGTGACTCACCCGTACGATTTTCTAATCGTAAGACTTTCAGCCGGCACAGATGCTACGTTTATCGTTCGAGAGCCGCAGGAAAAATAGACCGGACCGAGAGAGATCTACTCGCCATCGCGTTGCGCCGCGTGTTTAAATCAATCGATCTTCGACATCAGACTCCTGGTATCTGTTTAAAGAAAATAGAAAAATGAAAAATGGCGCGTATTTAATTGCACTTTTTAGACACACTGTACGCCGAGTTAAATATCGACAATTTACGGTCGTTCGTGAGAATATTTCAGAGGAATGTTTAATAACAGTAGTCTACTAGCCGTACAGTATAACCAAACGCACGGTATACTCTCAACGATATATTTGTGAAAGTGAGAAAAGGAATAATGATAATGTACGAAATAAGTCGTTATATAGGGTGTTCGGCCAACCTTGGGAAAAATTTTTATGGGGAATTCTAGAGGCCAAAATAAGACGAAAATCAAGAATACCAAATTGTTGATGGAGGCTTTGTAAAAAAGTTATTAACGTCTAAAGTTCCGCCCGTACTGAATTTTTTTCTCGGAAGTGGGTAGGATTTCGAGGGTATGTATATTCACCTAAAATGATTGTAATTTACCCCCGTAACTAAATATAATTTTTCCAAAACGATTTGAAATTTTTTTTTCCGTCGAAAAATTTCACAGCTTCTCGAATTTTTTTCTAGAAAATGCGTAGAATTTCGTGGGTATGTCTATCCACAAAAAATGATTGTAATTGACCCCTGCAACTAAAAATAATTTTTTTAGAACGATTTGAAATGTTTTAATTTTGTCGAAAAATTTATCTATTTATTGAATTTTTTTCTCGAAAGTGCGTAGGATTTTGAGGATATGTGTGATGACCAAAAATGTTTGTAATTGACCCTCGCAACCGAAAATAATTTTTCCAGAACGATTTGAAATTGTTGAATTTAATTGTTAATAACTTTTTAGCGAAGCCTCCATCAACAAATGTGTATTCTTGATTTTCGTCTTATTTTTGCCTTCAGAATCATTCAAATTTTTCCCTAGGGTGGCCGAACACCCTGTATAAACGTAAAATAAAAATTGGATCAAATTTATCTAAAATTGTTCCAAAAAGTGGACAAAATTTATCTCAAATTGTTCTAAACGTTGTTTCCTCAGATTCTGCAGAGATTGTGAAATTTACTGAAAGGGGAGTTGGATCAATTTGGACGCGAGAGGCTCGTTTAACATTCACAGGTGACGCCACTGTGGTGTCAATGGCCATTTTAGCATTCACTTGTCCAGTCGCTTTCTTTCACGCGAGAAGATGAATACTCTCGTGGAAGCTGGCTGAAAGATGCACGTTCAAACTAATAAAGACGATCCAAGGGTCTTTATAAAACGCATCTCAATGACTATCGAACTAAATACAAAATACACGAGCTCGTGAAACAACCCGATAAAATATCCTACCATTTTAACTTTTAAATTTCATTCACTACAAGTCTCTATCGCTAATGCAACGAAACATCGACGACCTTTCCCATCGTTTGACGTAAACGTTAAAAACGCTGTCAATTACGAAACATTCTTTTTACTTTGTTTATCAAGTGTAAATATCTGTACTCGAGATTAATACTCTGACCTCCGTCTATCTATGTAGCTCTTGGACGATCAACAAAACACTAACATATAGATTTAAGTGCAAGAAAACGGAATTACGTGGACATCGTTAATGTCATCCTGAACGCTCTAAACGTTACGAAATAAATCATACTCTGCCTCGTTTCCTCTGTCGCGCATGCGGCCTTGGGCTATCGCGAAAATCGGTGGACGCGCTACCATTATTTTTAGTTTATTTTCTAGATAAGGATTGACGATATTGTCTCGACTCTCGCTTTTAAAACATTCCAACGTACAAGAAACGGTGCCCGCCATTTTACGTTGGTCCGAGAAACTGATCCTGACTAAGTCATCGCCAGTGAAAATATCGTAAAACGTTTTGTCGAAGCGCCGTAGAGGCGTGCGTCCCCTCGTTAAGCGCAAACATTCGGAGAGAACGAAAGCGAATGATGGAAGAAACCAGCCAGCCGATGGGTTACTTTTACTTTCTCTGTTTTACACGAAGCGCGAAACAGCATCGCAGCCAGTAAAGGCCGAAAGGAGTCCGCTTTCCCTGTTGTGACGCTTCATCTCGCCGTGCCCGATCTCAAAATCCTTTGTGATTCGCGTTACATGTGTACACGCACGAAAAAGAACGCTTTCGACTCGACTATAATAGAAGATACAAAAAACGTAAATTACGGTCGTAAATGAAATTATTTTCGTGACAGACGATACAGTGTAACATGATAGAATTTCAAAGGATCGACACTCGGGGCTGTAACATCGAATTCGATACCCAAGAAGTATAACGAAAGTTAATAATACGATTAAATGAAATAAAAATAAAACTCACGCAACGACCGTTCTTCTGCTTCTTTTTAACTTGTTTAAAATTTGTCCAAGTTTCGATGTTTCTTTAATGACGCTTTAAGTACACCTTTTTCGTTGCAATCCAGCCGTTGGCCAACCCGTTGCAAAACACGACATTAAATAACACAAGTCCTCCCCGCAGTCGGGTCAATTCTAGAACGTGTTACAAACGCAACTTTTTCTGCAACAAGGAAACACATGATAATTAATTCTTTTTAACATACCGTGATATTGCAATATGCACGATCAGAACGTTTCTATCGATATCCACTTTCTGGAGTTCATGACATTAACTATTTCATTAACTGTTATCGTTACATCCGCGTCGATTATTTGCACAGCAATGGCGTTGTTCCCGATACGCAAATGCCAATTGCGTTTTTATAAATGTCATTCAACAGTTTGTTCGCTGGTAATACAATAGAAAAGAAGTGTTCAATTAGCGCTAACAATGCAAAAATTACTACTACTTTCAGTTGTGTGTATGCGCATTTTTTTAATGTAAATAACACTTGATGTCTGCTATACGCCAATGTATTTCGAAATCACAAAGTGCTATCTTTCGATTAACGTATCATAGATCGTGAGAGATATCCAGAGCCGAAGAAACACGAGTCTCGTATCTGGAGATTGCATCACGGTAGACATGATCTCAACTTGAACTTGCAAAGTAGAAAATAACGCGGAGTTTGGCTCGCGCAATAAGTTTCTTCGTTGCAGCCTTTAATTTCCAGCTGTCTTCCTCGGCGGAACGTGAAATTGCAGAAAATGATGCTTCCGAGAGAGTAAGAAGACGCTCCGCCACGTAACATGAATCAGAGCAGAGCGCTGACCTTGTTGCTGTTCGTATTTCTCTACACGGTTGCTACGCGAAGGCCTTTCCTAACAGAAAAGCATTCAAGTCAATTTGAAACATTCAGCGCCATGGTGGTCATCGACGACCGCCATGACTCTAATACTAATAAATTTTTAAATTATGCAAATTATAAACTAGATACAACTCTGAGAAGAGTAACAATCATCACTCCATTTAACATCGAATTTAAATCGTTTCACGTTTTCATAGAGCAGGTCACATTTTTTACAATTTCGAAACAGCATGTCGCATAGTGTTTTGAAACATATCCATTTTTTTGACATATTCACACTGGTGCATATTTGAACAGATGTATTGTGAATACGAGAACTGATTACATATCGACGACTGAATTTTTTAACCACGATTTTGCGTATGAAGGATAACATTTATATTTAAATTTGACGCTCTGGCGAAACTGTGTTGCAAAACTATTTCATATTCGAATTTATGGCACCATGGAATTTTGAATTTGTCTAGACCTGGGAAAAATTTTAATGAGGGATTCTAGAGGCAAAAATAAGACGAAAATCGAGAATACAAATTTGTCAATGGAGACTTCGTTAAAAAGTTATAAACAATTAAAATCAAAAATTTCAAATCGTTCTGGAAAAATTATTTTCAGGTGCGGGGGTCAATTACAATCATTTTTGGTCATTACACACACCCCCGAAATTCTATGCACTTTCCAGAAAAAAATTCGACGGAAAAAAAAAATTTCTAATCATTTTGGAAAAATTATTTTCGGTTGCGGGGGTCAATTACAATCATTTTTGGTGAATAGACATACCCTCGAAATCTTGCGTATTTTCGAGAAAAAAATTCAGTACAGGCGGAGCTTTAAACGTTAATAACTTTTTAATGAAGCCTCAATTGTCAAATTGGTATTCTTGATTTTCATCTTATTTTGGCCCCTAGAATCTTCTACTAAAATTTTTCCCAGGGATGACCGAACACCCTGTATAAGTCGATGTTGAAGAAGCGTCCAGTGCACGTGCACTCACGTATGATATCATTTACGCCTACGTCGATGTGATATCGCTGTGATATTTAATTTGCTATTCGAAGTTATTAGATTAGATAGCTGAAGATTAGCAATGAAACACAAACAAAACCAAGAACGATTCCAGAAATATTATTATACACGCTCATGAGCTGTATGCCCGACTGGAGAAAATTAGATAATTGTATTAAAAAAGAAAACAAAAGTGAAAGGTGTAATTTTATAAAACCATTCGCAATTCTGATCTCCAGTTTTCTCTTTTAAGGCCAGGTATCTTTTGACACCATTGCTTCCGAATGCAAATAACCGTAAGAAATAATTGTTAAAAAAAAAAAGATATGCGTACACATGCGTTCCTTTTTTTCCTCCTTCGCTCTAGGCATCGCTATTTACATCGTTACGACGATCCCGTACCGTCCAAAAATAGTCAACAAGTTTACAAACACGCACACGAACAGTTTCGCGCGGTGTACAAGATCTACGACTCTCTACAAGGTACAGTGAGCCACAAAATTATCGACACGAATATACATTTGAAAAAGAAAGCGTCGAACACTCCCTGTATACTTGTGCCAATAATTTTGTGACTCACTGTATAAATCATTCAACGTCCATGCTACTACAACCAGGAAGATCTATTTAGATAACGAATTTTTAGCTCTGAGAAGACGAAGTGTCCGCGAGATAAAAACGATTCACGGAACGCTTAGGTCAGTGTACTCAAGGATCGGCGACTGTCCGTAGACTCTTACTAGAGACCAGCGTTTCCCAATGTTTTTTAGTCTCAAAGCTCCTTTCATTTAACAGTATAATGTACGAAACACTTGATTCTCTTGTGGTTGGTTTTTTTTTTTAAATGTATAACACATACATGAGTAATTGGACATTTGCATTCAGAACAAAAACTAGATTTTCCTTTTAAGGGGGTATTCCCAGTCGGAACCGTCGTTTTTAAAGTGACATTTCCATATTAATGAGTACTTGTATGCCCGCCATTGTAACTGCTCGTATAGAAAACTCCGCCAATGCTTGTGCCCAATACTGTATAGTAACAATAACAGTCTTCGTTTCTTGAAACAGCCGGTAGAAAACGTGCAAGCCGTGCGCAACGTCGGTGCCTAAAATAAGAGTTAACTGTAGATGCCCAGCCACGACTCACGGACGGACGAAAGTCTCGAGGATCAGGCGGCATAACTGGCACTGACATTTCGCCCTTAACCGAGCGAAATCGAAGGAGGGGACAGAGGGGATGGGCGAAGGAAGGGACGAGGAATAGGAAAGGACAAAGAGGCTCGAGGCAGCGCGTACGAAAGTCGCGTTTAGAAGATGTCCAATAACTCGTTTAATCCGCGTGTACGTGTAATCTTATCTCCGCAGCGAGGAGAGGAAGGTTACGGATACAGTTAAGTAGCGGCACTTTGATCCAGAAATGCACCATGTGGTCAAGTTTCGAGCGAGCTGGTCATTCGGATGCTAATAGAAGTTTGTCCAAAACAGTAATAGAAAATCTGCCACCGCGGAACTTAATACAAAACATTTTTACGCTTGTTCAGCCCTAGTAGGCCACGCACATTATGGAGGTACAGTTGGTCCCAAAAGTATACGGCCATCTTACCTGCTAAGCAAGTTTTATCTAAAATTGAAGCAAAATTTTTTTAATTTATCAAATTGTAATATTTCATAGCTTTTACTTCATTCATGTTGAAGATGCCTCCTAAGTGTAGTCGACTAATTATATATTATAGAGCAGGTAATACCGATGAGCTGCTTGTTATTCGAATACTTTTTGAAATATATATATATATGGTTATTTTTGACTCACCACTTACAGTTTGAATTTTGTACTCTGCCCTCCGCTCAACGTGCCAACGATTTCACGATCTTTCGTCGTGATCTCATTGTGAGTGATGGAAATGCGAATGATTGGATCTGATTACATTCCTCGTAACTATTCCTTGCGGCGAAAACCATGGGGGACGGGCAGAGGGTCCGAGACTCGTGGAATTTTTCAAATACTTCGCCGCTTGAATATAATTTGAACTCTGCTGTAACTTAAAAATGTCATAACTCTTGAACAATTAGGTTTACGGTGTAACAGTTTTTTTTGTATCTTTGAAAGAAGCTTATTGTTGCCTTAGAATTCAAATAAAGGTTCTTTCAATACTATGCTAGCGTGGATATTGCGACAGAAAAATTCGCGCGTGGTCGTCTAGGAACTCCAGTTTCAGGATCGCGACGTGTGACGTGCGATCGACGAGCACGGATCCAAGTCCAGCGATAGACAACCAGCCACGGCTGCCTGTTGCCGCGGAGAGGGTCCAAAAGAGAACGTAGCGTCAAACCAGCAAGAGACGTAACGAGCAGTCGCCAGCTGGTGGCCGGTCTACGTGGATCGCGGAGTCGTCGTGAGCGTGTGCCAGTGTGTATTTTTTGTTTCGTCGCGCGTACGTCGTGCACGCATAGGCGATCCGCGCGCGATAAGCGGTATTCCACGGGAGAGAAGCGATCAACATGACGACTAGTTCCCGTTGACTCGCTTTCGAACGAAGTGATTCTCGTACGTTACGCCGCGCGAGCACGATACACATGCGTACACGGTATATACGTTCGTACCGCATAGTATTATAGATACATATATGTGCATATAAATATATACACTCCGATGAGAGTGTGGCCACGGGCAGGATGTCGTCGGTGTTTTCGAAGCTAATCGACAAGACGTCCGCTAAATACGGCATCAGGCAGGAACTGCTCACGCGTGGCGTCGTTGGCGCGGTGACGACGCTGTATCTGCTAAAGATCGGTTACCCGTTGGTCGCTTCGAGCATCGCGCCGTACCTGCAAAAAACGAGGAAACGAGATGACAGCCCGTCGATGGTTCCCAACCGGTGCAAGACCGACGTTCGCGGTAAATCCCCGGTCAAGGCGGGGAAGAACGTCGGTCTGGACCGGAACTTCGTTAAACAGCTGATCGCGCTGTTGAAGATCATGGTCCCTGGATGGAGAACGCGCGAAGCCGGATTACTCACTTGCGCCACTCTCACGCTCCTCACGAGGACTTTTCTCTCGGTTTACGTCGCCACTCTGGAGGGCCAGATAGTGAAAAGGATCGTGCTAAGAGATGTACGCGGCTTCCTGAGGATGCTAGCGAGATGGTTCGCCATCGCTTTTCCCGCTACTTTCGTCAACTCGGCGATCAGATACCTGGAGGGCCGACTGGCTCTTAGCTTTAGGTATATTTGCATCGATTTATTCATTTGATCGATGGTTGAGCTCGTGAAGTGTAAATGAAGGAAGAGAATTTAACAGGTTCGCTGTCGTGGTGGTCACCGGTAACCGGTGCATAAATAATGTCATTCGGAATGATGCAGAATAACAAGTACGGGTGTCCAAGAGCGTGGGCGGAATTTTACCTAGAATGGGACGAAAATGATAGAGCAAAGTTTAATTACCGATTATTTATTTTAAAAATTGAATATAGAATTTAGTTATTTGTAAATAGCTAGGAGGGGGAAAGTGCCCCATTCACCTAATCCTTGCATAATTTGAAAAAATACGATACTAGACAATCTAGACTATAGCAATCAATGTGTTCAACACTCTTAATCGTGCCCCGTATTTACGTTTTAATTTCCAAGATCATTTTCCGAAAACGATAAATGATCTAAGAACAGACAGTTGTAATTAACATTTTTTAATTTCTCAATTAAAATCAAATAAATTTTTGTTTATAATCTTATCATTTAAACTTGAATTCTAATCTTATAATAAATAAATTTCAAAATCGTATTCGATAAATAAATCATTTTATAACTTTAAAAATTATGAAAAAATGTTTCATCAAATTATTGACTTGTTTGGAACTTGTTTCTAGAGAAGGGAAATAGTTTTCTTGTACAAAGATGGTCTGTTAACCGGTCCAAATGTCTCTGTACATTGTTCAGATACAGCAGAATTTGAAACTCTGCACGAATGGATTGTTTTGTACCTAATTTTGCTGCACATTTGTCTTCTGCATTTGATCCAAGATTGAAATCATTGTCTGTTTCGACAGGAATACTATGTAGTCGCAATGAAATGCATTTATTGCATTTAGTCACACGATATGAATTGTGAGTTACTACAAACATTAACTGTATTAAGCAGGAAAAGAGCTAAATGATAAATGCTGTAATTAATTGTATCTTTTACAAAGTATTCTCATTTCATTTTAATTGGATTTTTGCTAGTTATGTTTTTCATGCTATTACTTCCCTTTTTCTTTGATGCTTTCTATTTGTATCAATTTTTCTATACTTTGTTTTCATGTCTGGTTTAAATATATTCTAAAGTTTAAAGCAGATGAAAAACTGTCTTTACTTTCAATATTCTTTGGTGTCCACTTTGATAGGTTACTATGCTCGAATCATTAGGTACTTCTTAACAATTTACACATTACAACTGTAGAGCACAAATTGAACAAAATGAGGAAACACAAAGGAGAATGGATTCAGACATTAGAATATCAAAGTTTGCATTAATTGCAAACACAGCTGAAAAATGAAAATTTGTGGTTATAAAACAGAAGTTGACTGTTTCATTTCTCCTGAGAAATCGACTAACAAACATTTAAATAACAAATATTAAAATGATCTAGCTAAGCTGAAGGACTCTGTTATTCTCACCTTAAATTGTTTTACTTAAAATAAAAAATAAATCGTAAAAAAGATAATATGTAAAAAAGAACCTAAGTGTAACTAATATGCTAAAAAGGATAGCTTTAAAAACTTCGAATAACATAAATTAGATGCTTCGTATTCATAATATACTGTTGTCTAAAACACCTAAACTAGTCATCGGTACATTTACCTTCCGAGTAATTTGATTCTTTCTCGATAAAAAGATCCGTTTTCGAATGTTTTTGTTGCCTGATGGGGAACTAATATTTTGTGATAATGTTATTTAAAAATGACAATGGCGCATAATAAGGAAGATATTAGAATCCAAGGACTGTAACCGTTGCCTAAGCCAAGTGAAAAACCGGGTTACCCACGTGAGGTTAGTGTAACCCGCAGTGACCACGAACCGACATTCACAAATAGAAAGAGCGGGTGTTCCCCTCAGAACGGGTTTTGAAGAGAGATGAGCAAAATATATTTTAAAAAGTATCACGAATAACTCGATATTTAATTTATAAATAACTCTAAACGATCAAATCGTAATTATACGAAAGTCTAATATACCATACGTTTTTTAAAAAATTTATAGATTTCATTCCTTATGAACAATCTATAGTTAATATAATTTCATATTAAACACGGAGCTAATTTTCGTTTTTAATATGTTTAAATAAAATCCAAGGACCGATGCCCGCCTAAATGGACAATTTAATGTCTGGAAGATAAGAAAAGTATTAAAAAAAATAATAGAAAAGTTGACTACCTTCGAACACTGCATACACGCGTGATCTTGATCCATTGTTTTTAACTTCCGAGGCTGTCGTGCGGTTCAAATTGACGAGCAAGTGTTTTCTCTTCTGTTTTCAAAGGGGACGCCTGGTGGAGCATGCCTACAAAATGTATCTGAGTCAGCAAACTTATTATAGAGTAGCGGCGTTAGACAATAGACTCGGTGGTGCCGAGCAAAGACTGACAGACGATTTGTCTGAACTGGCAAGTTCTGTGGCGCACCTGTACTCGAGTCTGACCAAACCGTTGCTGGATTGCGCGTTGGTGGGCCTCGCGCTTATTTCGTTCTCGTCCAAAATGGGGGCAAGGAGGATACAAGGCAAGATGATTCTCAATAATCGAGACGCGCCTGTATATTGAAATTTGAATTTCATTTTTATTTTTGCAGGACCATTATTGGCGTCCACGGTGATCGCTCTAACCGGGCAAATCTTGCGTCTCGCCTCTCCAAAGTTTGGTCAACTGGTGGCTGAAGAAGCATCGCGACGCGGACGGCTGAGAGAAGCCCATGCTCGTATCAGTGCGCACGCGGAAGAGATTGCATTTTATGGCGGACACTGTACGGAGCATCGGTATCTAAGTACCGCGTACAAGTCGCTCGTCTCACATTTGAGACGGGTTCTAGGAGTGAAATTGTGGTACGTGATGCTGGAGCAATTGCTTATGAAGTACGTGTGGTCCGGCACTGGACTCCTCGTTATTGCTATGCCGTTACTTTACACTACGGTCACTTCAGGGAGTGCGGGCGACAATGACGACGGCGACGGTTTGTACACGTTGACGACAAACGCATAGCGCTTGGAAAAAGACAGCTATTCTTTTCTTGTTGATCTTGATGCTCCATGCTTCGTACGAGTCTTCTTTAGGTAGTTGTACGAAGTAGTAAAATAGTTGTAAATATCATGTAAAGACCAATTCTTAACACTTTGACGGCCGCTGTCACGTATACGTGACTTTGCGGGCTAGCAGATGTTCGCCACTGTCACGTGTGCGTAATCTCCTGTATCAGTCACCATTTCATCATACATACAACTTATTGTTGAGGTTACATTTATAATTCCTTATAATAATATTCCATCTTCATGTATCTCACTTTGGTCTACAATATTAGTGGTGACGAACAACGGTCTTTGCGTGATACATGCGGCTATTAAAGTGTTAAGAGCTATGATACTTATAAACGGTAGTACATGTCCAAGATGGCGGATAGTCTGAAAAGAAAAGTTATAATAGCGTCAGTAAATGTATCATATAAAGACCAATCTTTAAGAGCTATGATACTTACAAACGGTAGTATATGTCCAAGATGGCGGATAGTCTGAAAAGAATAGTTATAATAATATCAGTAAATGTATCATATAAAGACCAATCTTTAAGAGCTCTGATACTTACAAACGGTAGTATATGTGCAAGATGGCGGATAGTCTGACAAGAAAAGTTATAAGTTACAAGTAGTTACAAGTAGTCTAGAAGAAATCGACAAGAAAGGAATAGTTACTTTTCTTTAAGACTGCGAGCGAATTAAATACCATTAAAGCTGTTTGTTTGCAAAATAGGCGGCGTTAGCGAGAGGACTAGATATTTGACGACTTCTAAGAACCTCTTAAGCTCTGGAGCGGATGCCGTGGAGAGACTAATGTCGTCTTACAAAGTAAGAAATCAGTTAAAATCGCGACGCAATTGCGACTAGTATTAAAGTATCTAATAACTTAATTGTTTGCAGGAACTAGTAGCACTGGCAGGATACGCGGCGCGAGTCAGCGAGATGTTAGATGTATTCAAAGACGCTGCGCTCTGTAAATATAGAAGAAACGTCGTTAGTAGTCCGCTGAGAATAGCGAACGGTACTGGAAATAACGCTTTAGACAAAATAATTGAAATGAAGGACGGTGCACCGGTGATAAAAGGTAAGCTGTCCCTAGGACCTGTAACATAAACGTAGCTCATGAAATACTGATATACAAACACCTATTTCTCCAGGAATCGTCGAGGAAAGTACGGATGGCAGTATAAGCGTGATCAATGTGCCAATAGTTACACCAAACTGTGAAGTCATTGTGCCTAGGTTAACGATTCACGTAAGAGACTTAAAGCCAAATCCAAGTAACCTTTGGATTACCGTAACTCCAAGAAACGACTTCTAATAATACAAAGGGGTGTATATATTTTGATGTATTTTTCTAGATAAAACCTGGTGATCATATATTAATCACCGGGCCAAACGGATGTGGAAAAAGTTCACTGTTCCGCATTATCTCTGGCCTGTGGCCAGTGTACGGCGGCACTTTGATAAGACCAGCCGAGAGTTACTCCGGGAGGCCAGCGTTGTTCTATATACCGCAAAAACCGTACATGACCGTCGGTTGTTTGCGAGACCAGATCATATATCCTGCAGAGTCGCAGACGGAGGACTGCTCGGACGTGGAGCTCCTGAAACTGTTGGAAGAGGTCGATTTGCGAGGATTGGCGGAGAGGGAACCGGAGGGACTAGATGCATTCGGTGATTGGGACTCTACTTTGTCTGGTGGTGAGAAACAGAGACTCGCGATGACTCGATTGCTCTATCACAAGCCGCAATACGCTCTGTTGGACGAGTGCACCAGCGCAGTGAGCCTCGAGGCTGAGGGGGTCATATACGAAACTGCCAAGAGGAAAGGCATAACGTTACTGACCATCACACACCGTGTGGCTTCGCTCGCGAAATACCACAAACTGCTGTTACGCTTTGACGGGGAAGGCAGTTGGGCTTTCGGCCCCTTGGACGCAGAAAGTTCAACCCTGTTGGTGAACCATGATCTCGATCAAACCGAGGAACACGAAGTGAAACGAAGCCTAATGTTGCACGTACGTTCAGAAACTCTTACCTCCCGTTGTCAACAAAAACAATCTTTGCTCCAGCCTTATGGCTACAAATGGAACGTGGCTTTGCTTGATCTGTTCTATTTACAATGAGCTAGTCCTACTCTATTTAAACGTTATTTAATCTAAAAGTTGTCAGCCTATGTGCACTATATAAATAAAATACATTTACAAAAGTATACACATGCAAGAGGCAAACATCAATCAGAAATGTTGTTTCTAACGCGTTTCTCTATTCTTGCAGGAATTTCGTGACATCCATCCGGAAGACTCGAAAGTTGGAATCAGCTGAAAAGGACTCAGCGAGATGTTTGAAACCGTTCTAGCAAATTCATGTAGAAATCTGCGAAATTGTAAATATATCTTCGAGAATGTATTTTGTACAGAAGTTAACTGCGATTTCTGATTAAATAATCTATTTTTATATGAGGAAAAGTTGCTATTTAATTACGTGAAATATGAATAAAAATTGTTTGAATTACCTGTACCTTGATATTTATTTGATTCCTACATTTGCATACAATTAATTACTCCTGGATTATTAACAACGAAAATATGTCGATAGGAATGTGACAATTACTTCCCATTCTCTGCGCGAATTTTAATATACAACCTTGTATATATGAATAAATTAGTTTTGAAAGTGGTCTTGGCTTTCTTTTTTAGATACAACACATTTGTCAAAGATTAGCTTGTTAAGATAACGTGTATTCGAGCAATAAATCATTTTTTTCTGGAACCGTGATTATTTGCATCTAATGAATATAAAAAAATAATTGCTGAGACATTATCTGAGAAAATAATACTATTATTTATTACTGTAAAAATGGCATATTTGCAAAGGTGTATGCAAAATAACGTGCGTACGTTTCCACTCATTTATCTTTGTAAAAATCAAATATAATAAGAGAAAACAGAAGCACGCTCTAGAAATATTCATTTAATTCATGAGAAACAGCTTTCTCCTCATAATGGACCTAGAAAACCAATAATCAAGAAACTTTGTCACGCTACTAACTATATATATATTATAAAATTGCAAAAGGAATAAAACATAATTCCAATAATTGCTATCGATTGCTATCCAAAAAATCTAAGACCTTCTCTTATCAGTTTATGAAAAATAACTTGATATTATCGGTACGTAATTAATCATTGATCTTTCCACATTCGTAATTTAGTAGAAACAGTGTGAAACGAATGATCGAAGACGGGCATGATAAAAAAAATAACGAGAAGTGGAATAAAACACGAGGGAAGAGAGGCGATTGGCGGGGAACCCCGGGAAAGGTAGAAAACGATACGAAGAAAGGGTGCGAGGTTGGGAGAGACGGGAGGCTCGATTAAAAGTCGGATCGTGGATTAAACTTCCTTTGGCAGCGGTGCAGCTGCGGTCTGCCGGTGTCCACCGTGGCGCACACATTAATTTGCGCCGGACAAAAATTTAATTACGTGTGTTTCTTTGTTTTGAAGGGCCAGCAAAGGCGGCGGGGGCGACGCCAGGGGAGGGAAGACCCACAATTTCCGATGAGCTTACCTCTGGGAAACCCTCCAAACGCCAAACGTCGATACGCCCGGGAGCAGCCATCTTGGGGGGTTGTATACCTCTCTGCAACGTTCGAGCTAATGCTTTAAAGCAATTCCAGAATGCTGGCGCAATTAGACGCTCCTCTCTCTCTCTCTCCCCGCGGTGCACCATGGTTCAAGTCCTCCTCTCTCTCACAGATCCTGTTTAACAATTTAAATAATGTAATTTAAAAATTGTAACGGTAACGGTAACAATGGTAGCAAGTACACACGCCTAGAATATCCATAGGCAATTAAAGCTAGCTCTGGAATAGGCATGACTGGGAATGGAACTTTTAATTTAAATTTTAAAGCATTTTTAAAGTGGAGACAGATGACTTAATCAAGAAATTAAAAGAGATTGTTTCATGGAGGTCCAACATATTATTAGGCTTAGTGGTTGTACCTTTCATTGGGGAAATATTAATTAGTCTTTATAATAGTCTGCACTATTGTAAGCATTCTATTTTATTTATTTTTCAGTTGTACTTTTTGCTATGTGGTTATTGTATTGTTAGCTTCTAAGAAGTTGTAAGAATATTACTTTTAGGTTAAAAGTTTGTACTTAATAGGTACTGAGCTATAAAGATTGGAATGTTCACCATGTAAGAGAAAATATATTTTCATTGTGGTTTATGATCATTGTTTATGCGATATGAAGTCATGAATATGCTTACTATTTCATAAGAATTTCATTGTATTTTAAGTTATCATTAGTCAATTTTTACTATAGAATAAGTACTTCTGCCTATATATTTTGATTTGCTCTACATGCAGACAGGTAAAATTTCATGTGGACAGAACTGAATGTTAATTACACTTTGATGGATTAAACAACAAACAATAAAAACAAAGGCACGGTAATGGCTATTCCACAAAGCTGTTCAAAAGTCTAATAGACCAAGACACAATGATCTCTACCTTCCAGAAAAGTTAACGTCATTACCGGGATTGTACGTCCAAGAGGCATCGACTGCCTTGTTATTTCTAACCTAACCGCCGTCGCGGATGCCAATTTAACCGAACGTCTTCGGCACGTATCGAGTTTCGTTATTTTGAGAAAGGGTTGAAGCGGCGAGCCGACCAAGTTGCATCTGTTCGAATAGCCGGCTAAGAAAATAAGACAGGAATCGTCGGGATGATTAGCGGAGCCCGTTTGTAACAGTTTCTCGGGGATTAAAACCTCGTTCGCTTTCCACCCTGTCACCCCCTGCCTCTTCTCTTCCTTCCACCCCTCCTCTCGTCCTCGTCGAAATACCCGATTGAATTACACACGGCGCGTGCCAGCCAGCCGCCACCGTCACCGCATACGCCAAAGATCTGCGGAATAAAGAACGTAATAACTGGTCGTACGATCGCTATCTTGTCATCCGATGGGATTCCCCGAGCGACAAAGAGGCTCTCGTGTTTGCAAATCTCCAACGATCGCGGGTATCCTGCTGGAACGATCGTGTTCCTTCTCGACCGTTTTAACGCGGTCGCTAGTAACCTCAAAAGTATGGGGTGCGACATCTAGGTCCGGGGAGGCGAGACAGAAACATAGGAAATAATTAAGAACCGCGCCTATCAAATAAATTAAAACTTAAATAGGAAATATCACGGTATTAAATGCTTTAGGCGCTTCGAAAGCTATATTCTGTTTGGAATCACGGAAACTAGATTCGTTGATTGTTTCGTGCAACTGGAAAACCACAGAATCTGGTAGGAGGGGGTTCTCTGTCAGAATTACACGGGAGTCTGGAACATCGACCTTGTTCCCGCCGCAAGAGGTGGTACGCCGCAAACGTAATTAAGTACCCGTGACGTATTTGGTAACATCTCCATCGTTCAAAGCGGGGTTTATCGTACCGTCGGAGATTATCCGATACGCAATCACTTTAACGCAGGGAGATGGGACCGGTAGGAGGAACTCTCGATCGCGAACAATACGGCCACTGTCATCCTATCATGTTGGCTAATCACTCAACTCGGGAGTCGCGATGATGAACACGTTCTCTGTACGAAATCGAGGGGGTATTCCCGGTCCAAAGCCACGAAAATATACAATTTTCACTATTTTTACTATGTATACTCGAGACATCGATAAATATATGCTGGGGCCCCCAATGCAAAACAGTCTACGGTTCTCTTTTTAAAAAATAATTGTACAGGCGACTAGGTAGTCAAAGTGTTAAAAATGTTCAGCGTTCTTTGCGTCCTGCGATCACGAATATTTGCCCAAAGTATTTAGGGAAGAGGTATTTGCCGGTTAGGTGATCACCTAACGCGCACACGTGATCGTAGCGGATGCACGACGCATGTTTGCCTCGTCCGAATCGCCGATGTAACGATGTAATCGCCTCTTTGATTTCAGGTGCGAGCAAACACAGGTGTGCCTGCGAGTAATTGTGGCTTCCAGGGGGTGAACTATACTGGTTCGTCCTAGACCTTATCTGTGGCTATGAATGGAAGATTCCGCGTCCCCAAATTGGGTGCAAACAGAAACGAATGCAGAGATCGCATCTACGTTAATTTATACAATAAATTCTCTAGCTTTCAATAGTTAAGACAATCTTTGTAAAATTTCACTAACCTTCCTAATAGTTAGCGTACAATTTTCATTTTTAAATTCTGGAAGCTCCGTATATGTCCTATCATCTAAACTAAGCTACAGAGTCTTAGTAAATACTGTTAAATACGTAGAAATTAGTGTTCTCAGTTAAGCAATTAAGGGGTGTGCTTAGGGCATTGGTTGGAATCAATCCAGTCCTGACTTCCGCGGAACAAACTGCAGGAGCCCGACGCTAAAGGTGTACTTCCGCAAGTAGTGTGGAAACGAGTGGAACGTTCAGTCGAACCTTTCCTTTTTTTTTTAACGCACACAGTTCTTGGATAAAGCAATCGCCTCTCACGAGTCGTGGCGCATCCGACTATCGAATGTCCACATAATCGGGACCGTCAGGCCGGACACCTGACTACGTAGTTCCGACGTGGGCACAGGAAGAGGAAGTCGACCGCACGACGGCGTACCGGCGTCGACCGTGTGTCACCCATTGCCGCGCTGTCCGACGCCAAACGCCCGGAATACCAGGGATCCTGTTCTCTTCGTGTCCCTTGCCCCTGCAGACCTAGAAAAAATTCCAAATTTTTCTCTTATTTTGTACATACGAGGATCATGCAATAAATAAAGAATTGTATGATTTAAGATCAATGAATTACACTACTTATGTGCTTCTTGGTACAACAGCTTGCTACAATTATAAATAATATGAGTTTGTCAAGAGCGAATATGGCAAAAGTGTAAAAGAGTGAGACAGGGTGTAAAGATGAGAAGCAGGAGGGGGGAAGGGTCGCATAGAGGAGATCAGAGCCCGCAGCACGCCGAGTGTACACCCTGGGTATTGACTTACGCTTCCAGCCGATTGGGCCCACGGTATTTACGCAGGACCCCGTAGAAAACCGGACCCCGCCCTCTCTCTTTCGGCCGTAACGTGCAATTCCACGGAACTGCAACGTTTCCAGCGACCTGGAGGAGTTCCTTGCACCGCGACATTCTTGCGGGACCAAACGTGGGAGGGTGAACGACGGTTGATGGCGGTTTTGGGTCGTGGGAGACGAGAATGGGCAGTTAGGTTGTTTTTTTTTATGGGAAACTTGGGCATGAGTTGCTTGAGGTAGGCAACCGCTCATAAGAAGAGCCTAAAACCTTCGTGCTACCAATTTAACTGTAATCTTGTGTACCTTATAATCGATGCATAAATAGAAATTGAATTTCCCAATTCAGGGAATATTTGATCGAAAAGTCTGATCAAATCAACGCGTAGCGGGCGCTAACACGATTTTAAATGCGCTATACAGAGCACACGTAACAATTTAATAGCGAACCGCAAAGGCTTCGTGCTTACACTTGATCTTAACGAAGGCACGAAGTAAATTATATGGTATAATTACTCTTTGCAAACTGTGAGCATACATTTGTAGGTCAACTATCTCGCGAAACGTATATCCAAGACGAACGTAAGTTTCGATCTTTTCGTTACATCGAGGAGGAAAACTCGCCGCAGAAACGGCGAAGAACCTCAAGTTAAACGATTAAATTCTGTCTTTTTTAAAAAAAACTTATCCACTTGGGAAGTGTTTACCTTGAAGAATCTGTACCAGGGAACTCAAGAAAGGTACACACCTTTTTATGGAGAAACATGTACCTGGGAAACCCTGCAATAGTTTCTTCATCGTCTACGGTAAGGAACATTGCACAGGGCAGAAAGTCTCAAGCCAAATGACGAAACTTTGGATTTGTTCAGGCTTTAATTAACAAAGTCATGAAATCCGTAGCTATAAATCTTGACGTTTCGTGTTTCTACCCTATCTTCCGATCCCACCTCTTCGTTTACGGCTTGGTATCCTTGCGTTGGTACCGTACATCTTCTTGCAGAGTGTTCTCCGCGATCCAAGTAGATTTCACAAGTTGGGTACAGTCGTAGAGGGTGGCGGTTCACGGCAGCAAGTGGAATAGGTGCCGTCTGGGTCTCCCGTGGCCGGGCTCACCGTTCACTGGTCAATAATCCACGAAAGGGAAGGCATTACAAGCCAGTGATCTCGAGGGTATCGGGGCCACTCGTCTGCGAGGCAGGACCACCGTGATCGACGTGGTAATGGTATCTGAAGAAAATAATATCCTACTTCCCCGTCCCGCTCTCGTACGAGGATATCGGTGTAGCAGAGACGTGGCTCGATGGAGGCCCCCGATCACCGATCAGCGATCGCCGAATGAACGATTAGTATCCCGTGTCGTCGGCATCGACGACGGCTCGACCCGTGTATTCGAAGCGTCTTGCGTCTTGCGTCTTGCGCGCTCGTGGACATGGATATCGCCTCGAACCTCGCGCCTTCCTTCCCCAACGACCACCATTTTTTACAGCCACGGCGTCACTTGCGCCAAGCTTTTCCTAAAATTAACTCTTCACACGTTGATACGAGTGTCATCCTTATGGCGAGATGACCCATGAATTTCAAAATGGGTTAATCAGGACATACCTCGAATACAATTCGTGTAAACGTAGCTAAGCGATAATATGAAAATTATCCTTTCTAGATTACAATACTATAGATTACAATACTGTCTAGATACAATAAATCTAAATTCTTCAAAGTGAACAGGCACTTCTTATTAATGAAATATAATGTATACTTGGAAGTCCTGATTTTTAGGGGTTGGATTCTTTTTTTATAGGATCATATCCTTGTCATTTGACAATGAAAGGTCCTCTGCAACAAAAAGTTAACAAGATTGCACATCTACAAATTAACCGAAAGATTGATTGTGTAAAAATAATCCTGATATTCCTAAAAATATATTTGCGACAAGGGGTGGAAGAATAGTTAAGGTTGTTAAGACTAAAGTGTAACTGCAAATATCTCAAATATCTAGAGATATCTCGTTAAAAAAGTATTGACTTTCCGTTCGAACGAACGTTTTGCAAATCTTGTGAGCAAACACCTTGCTGCAGAAGCATGGACAGAAGGTTGCTACGTTGGGGTAGGGGTACGCACGTGGAAGACGAGGATGGCACGCACGTGGAACGAAGGGAGCCGAGGGAGAGGAAAAAAGAGAACGAAGAAGAGGCCGGCCCATGGTGGAGTGGGGCTCGGATGGCACGTAGTCAGTGAGTAAGGGGTGAGAGTGGGTGATAGTAGGTGGTAGATCTCTAGTTAGCCAAGACACATTGACAGGGCATCTTGCCAGCATGGCACCCAGCACGCGGTAGTGGCCCTCGGGACTTCTCGTTTGCTCGAGGATCCTTCGTCTCGTCTTCGGCTCGGTGTTCAATCTGAAAAGGAAAACGTCGTCAGTATCGGTCCACCGAATTCTAGTGTACTCTATGTTCCTATGTTACTGTGATTCCCCTTCGATAGTGTAGTGCCTAGGAAGATACAGTGTCGAAGGATTCCTTGTGCGGTTGTTATGTCTTCACAGCGTTTCTAGATAAAACTTCACGATGTAAAATGAAGGGACGAGATGGGACCGAAAGGAGTCTGCACTCTGTCCAAATAGAGAAGAGAACTACAGATATGTCCGAGAAGAAGATAAAGAATCTGTACAAGAACAGGAAGAAGCTCGTATGGGATCATTAGAAGTGTCTGTGATGGTGTTTTAAAACTCGTAGTGTAGATTGAATGTAAAAAATATCGAAGTAACCAAGCAACCAAGTAGATTTTGACGGTGCCAAAGGGTGAAGACGTTCGATGCGTTTCGGACAGATCGTATCAGCAGATATCGAACCGATCGTTACAGTTTAGAATTCTACGTTAATTAATTAACCACAGTGCGAGGTAGCGTTTGCCTTTTGAGATTTCCGAGGGATCGAAACAGAGTGCCATTTTTTTAGGGGACGTAAGAAGGAGCGGCCAAGGAATTTCGTGATGTTCGTTTCAGCCCGTCGAGCACGAAGACGCGAATCACGTGGGAAGATGCACATGGTTTTCAGGCTATGAATGAAAATATCTGGCAGATTTTCTGCAGAAGCCTTTAGAGGAAACCGGGCAGGTCTTCCAAGCCATAAAGGTACTTCTATACGCTCCGGGTCCACATGCACGTGCATTTTCCTTTCAGTCATTCATAAAAAAAGTCATTCATGAAGTTGCGTTGATATGATTTTACTATTAAGGAACTTGAGAGTCTTTCAGGTGGGCAACAACGCGATTAACGGTTGGACCTTGCGATTCGCTAATTACCTGCACGGGGGACAGTATTAACGATGACATACGGAGGATATAATGTTTAAACAATTTAACGACAGTTCATGATAATTTTGTTATTTTTAAATTGAGTCACTGGGGATAATCTTTTAGCTAGTGTGCGATAATTTGTTCAGAAACTTTAGAGGGCAGAGTCTTGATTTGCTATAAAATAGTAAAATAATAAAGAAATATTTACGATCGTGAAGTTTGAAGGAATACAAAGAATATTAGAAATAAAGAAGTGAATTATTAATTTGTAGTTAGTGCAATTAAATAAAATTTTGTATTTTAACAAATTATTTGTTAAATAAATGTAGTTATATTCATTTGCTTAAATAATGAGAACTCATTATGTAATTTTTGATATTCTTTGAATTTTGTTGAACTGTACAGTTCCATTCCGAGTACTTGGTTCTTTTTTAATTCTGCAGTTATAATTTTTGATTTGTATTAGTTATTATTTACCTTGTTGAAGATATGATACTGATAAATTTTGAGAAATGTCTTAGCTATTCCAGCTGGCTCTGTAAATACATTAGGATTGATACTACTCTAGTAATTCAATGTTCAAATCTTTGTGCAGTTCAAGATCCTTAATGCTACAAATATCTAGATACCAGTGTATTGGGCACAACACTCGAACACATAAGAATTCCAATGATACTTAAATAGTCAAGTGCTCCAATAGTATTCGAGAATTCAAGTATTGTAATACTGTATGAACTTAATAGTATTTTGTATTCTTCACTCTGAATACTCGAATACAGAAAAATGTAAAAAAGTAAGCCCAGCTCGATTTGGGTTTGGTCGATTTGTAGTTCACAGTGTTCGAATAGTATTCGAGTAACTCTTGAGACTCCGATTATTCGAACACAGAGAAATCGAAGAGCTCGAAATTGTCCCGAATCGTCCATTCTCCTGGAAACAATATCGCGATTAGGAACGAGCCATTGAAAGCGTTCGCGAATCGCGACGGTATCGGCGGTCGAATTGGAAATATCGCGAAATGTATTGACGAAGAAGTCGGTCATACTCACGGAGCAATGTGCGGTTGCCAGGACGACCAGAGGGGCTGGACCACGTCGTCTCCGCGGAGAGGAGGAGATCCGTCCGCGTATTTCGCAGGGAGGCGGGGTGAACGGGGGTGTTTCTAAGGGAGGCTGCGACCAGATATTTCACAGAGATGGAGTTTCTGCAGAATCATCACGCGGTGAACACCTCCGAGCCGACGTACACCCTCGGCACAGGTGAGCCACAGTGTCGTCGCCACGAACACGGTTCAAATTACCATTGTTTTGTGCCAATTCTCAACAAATTTATGCGAACAGAGTATTTTTGTGCGTCTTGTGCAAACGTGAGCTGAAAGATGTGCAGAAGACGGTCTAAGTTCTACCACCCCTAGAGCCTTGTGAATTTCTCGTTTCCTTCGATTCTTCTCTTCGGCAAAGTATGTGAGTATTCCTTGGCAATGGTGGAAACACAGAACGAGTTACTATTAATCTTTTGCTCTGCGTTTTGTATGTCTTTTTTCGGGATGTTCAAATTCTGGCTCAAATGTTACTCATGAGGGGCTGAATGTAGACAAAATTTATAGTAATTTGAATTATAGAGTTACTCCTGTTGCCAAAGAATGTTCATGTACTCGAGTTTAATGCTAGTTGCTCCTTTCAACGTCCTCAAAGTGTCTGATTTTAATGAAACTTTACAGGTACACTGGTCATAATTTTTCAACTGTTCTTTGCTATTTCAGTAGAACTAAAATACTACCAAATTCTTTCTTCCCCAAAGTACTATTCTACCCTATTTTACCAAGATTCTACTCTATAGTGATCTAACAAAGTACTATTTTATTCTACCAAACTATTATTCTCTTTTTATTTCATTTAACTACCATTCTGCTCTATTTTATTATAGTAGAGTACTATTCAATCGAATGCTCTATTCTACCAAACAATTATTCTAGCCTATTATATTCTACTAAAGTACCACCCTATTCTATATTATTGCGTTCTTTAAATCCTCAGCTCACAAGCACAAGACGTCTCGCAAACGCACTAAACTTCTAAATTACAATTGTACTCCTATCATCGTCATCATATTTCATTATAATCGCTTCACACAGACATTATTGTTAACGTTTCCTCAACTGTTAGGTTCCGTGGGAAGCATCGAGGCCACTATACCTTCCGGCCTCTGTACTGGACCCCTCGGGGTGCTATCCAGCGAGGACACGTTAACGGACAATCAAAACGAGGAGACTTTGGGCGCTCTGCAAGGCACCCTACGCCTGCAGGACCTTCAGAACTCCCCGGAGGACATCGGTGCCGATCAGAGCCATCAGATCCAGAACTCGGGGCAGAATCAAGTGGTCAGCGAGTTCGGGGCGAGCTTCTGGGTCGACGACATGGCTGGTTTCCCTTTGCCGCCTCTGGATTTGGACCCCTTGCCACCTGGCCTCTTCAGTCCCTGTTCGGGGACTTACAAGTGAGTCGCAGAAGTCCTCCATTTTGTTCTTGCTGGAACTTAAATGGCCTGACCCAGTCGTAGTCGATACACCATGCCTGACGAACCTAAAAATATTAAAATATTAGAGCAAGAACGGAAGCTCAAATCTTCAATATTTCCATTTTACAATCTTCTTCGAACGAAGAAACTAGTCTAATAAGATTTTAACGATGCAATAAGCATGAGCGTACTCTCGCCCGATTAATGCCTGGCGTTTCTACTTGGAACTATAACGCTGCCGTCTGCGTAACTTTCTCAAGTATCGCGATTACTTTTACGGACAGACTGTTGCACAAAGGTATCGCCAATATTTTTAAATTCAAGAATATTTCTTATTGTTCATAGTTTTGCAATATTAACAATTTTGAAGACACATCAACTGGTTATCTTGGACGCTCTGCAGTTTTAGAGCTCTTACGTAAAAGGCTCCCTTAAAATCTTTTTTTCTACTTGCAGTTGGGGTTGCACCAGAGGGGAATGCGCGCCAAGACCAGGAAACGTAAACGGGGAAGGCGTCGCGGACGTCCTGCTGTCTCTGAAACACGCTGTGGTCCATCCTGGTAGCCCCACAGGAGGATATTACACCACTGGTGGATCGGGACATCATTATTCTCAAGATTACACTCAGAATCTCGGTCCACCAGTCCCTCCAACGCATTACGCGACCACTCCAGCCATGTCGGTCAACGTTTCCATGAACATGACGATGAACATGAACATGCACTCTGGGTGAGTACGACTCCTCGATACTTAATAATTTCTTACTTTATTTATTTATAACAAATAATTACACTTACCATTTTCAATTTATTTGTCAACAACTTGCATTAATAATGTGAGGGTTCAAACAACATAATTCGATACACATTGAAATCACTTGAACTGCTTTCGTGTAGGGAAGTTTTTCATATATTCGCACGCAAATAAAAATTTAGAGGCGTTTAATAGCGGCTACGGGGTAACACGGATGCCTTTATTATTTTCTGAATCATTTCTATACAGCGAAACTGTTTGCGAGAATTCGAGACTTTATTGGAAGCCGTACGAAACGAAACGTGAACCGATTGGTTCGTTTCGTGATTGTATCGGGAAAATGAAGAGGGGTGAAGTCTTTTTAATTGCGTCGATTCGAAATCATACATGTATATATCTTCTTTTTCTGCGATTCGTGCGTTAAACGATAATCTGCGTTCTCCGAAAAGTAATAAAATATAGCCAAGTCGACAAAAACGTAGCAAATATGCTGGAAATAATAATTAAACACGGAGCGACCGATATCTCGGAAAATACTTAAAATTGGGTAACTCTTGTTCAAAATCGGATTAAAATATTGCTTATTATTTTTATTATTACTTCGATTACTTGGAGCAACGTATAAATTATAGAGTAACTAGGAATGTTTCTCCGAAAAGGCAAGACAACCCCCCGCCATTTTGGCTGCCCGTAGGGTCACGCGCTCGACGGGTGCAAGAGCAGAGTTATTCAGTCGTTTCTATGTGTGTGCGCGTAGGTACGAGCAGAGCTATTCGTCGGCATGGGGCGTGGAACCCCTGTTAAGTCCCGCCCAGCAGTATAATCCCGTGGAGCAACAGACGAGGGTGAATCAACCCCCGGCCAATAGCCTGATCGGCACCAGCACCCATCCGCATTCTCATCCCCCGACGCACGGCCATTCCAGGCTGCAATTGTCCAGCGAGCATGCGCTGTGCATTGGCGCCACTGGGAATCCAGTCGCGTCCGACGACAATGGCAGACCTAATCTCTGCAGAATCTGCGGGAAATCGTATGCGCGTCCCAGCACCCTCAAGACGCATCTCAGAACCCACTCTGGCGAGAAACCGTTTAGGTTAGTGACGGGTCGGAATCCAATTATCGCTCGGATACGTTCGATCGATGCAGGTTTCGAACCTCGACCAGCGACGATCGAAACGGGAAATGTAATTTTTCCCTTTTGATCTTTTTTTTTTTCATTTGTTTAGTCTTTGGCCAATTGTTATTAACACTGTCGTCGATATCCTCTGATAAATATAGCCTACTACACTAGTCAACTTTGATCAAACACATGCTTAATTAGAACTCGACAGTTTCTTTTAACTTAAACAGAATTATTTTCTTTATACATTTTAATTTACCATAATCATACCAGTTGCAATATTTGAGCTTCGACTAGAATTAGATAAATGTTGTTACCTAACCTGTTACTCGTTGTCACCTCCACGAAGCAAATTCATTACGACTGCCGGTATTCACCTACAACAACACATCATGCCACTCATATAGCTTCCATTTTCCTAAACACATTCGCAAAACAAACAAAACTCTGTTTAACGCGACGTTGAAAACTCTACGTTTGTTCAAAGGTGTCATGCGTGTTCGAAGGCATTTAGTCAAGCCGCGAATTTGACCGCTCATGCGAGAACCCATTCCGGGGAAAAACCGTTTCGATGTCCAGTGTGCGACCGAAGATTTTCGCAGAGCAGTTCCGTCACGACACACATGAGAACGCATTCGGGGGAACGTCCATACAGGTGAGCTTTTTAAATGTTACGCGAATGAAATTTCTTGCGAATACCGTTGCCTGGAAATTGTTGTGTTCTGTTCCATACGACCACACGGCACTCGAATTAATAATTTTTCCAAAATTTATGCAAACGAGTGCACGAATAGGTTAACGCGTTCGCGCCTACGGATACCACTGATGATACATGTGGTTTCCCCATGCACGACGAGGTTAATTCAGTACTCGCCACTAGGGTGCGACCTAGTGCAGGCGCGTGTAATCTACAGCCGATTCGAAGCAAATTGAAGACCTTGCAGCTAGAGGGTGCTTATTAATTATTGTTATAACGTTCACAAAAAGAAAAACAAAAATTGCTGTTAATGATTCTCGCGGGATGAAAATGACGTGTCCTGAAAGCAGATTCAAACAAACAAGAAAATCATTAATAAGAAACAATAAATTTAATTATTTCATTGATGCACGTTGAAAAGTTTTTTCAAAGTATATCACACCGTAGTAAATTATAGATGTTATTTGGATTAACGTAAAGCACATTTATATAAAAATTCATCGGTTTTCGTTTCCAAGCGTTTTACCATATAAAAATGGCGGACTTTGCTGGACGATAATAACGAGCAAATGAGGGTTAATAATCGTAGCAATTGCGTGAAACGAAATATATGCATCACGTAAATAACTTTACCTTTTAACTGGCGATCCTTCGTTTTCAGATGTCGATTCTGCAAGAAAGCATTCTCGGATAGCTCTACGTTAACGAAGCATCTTCGAATTCACTCCGGCGAGAAACCGTACCAGTGCAAGCTGTGTCTGCTGAGGTTCAGTCAAAGCGGCAATCTCAACAGGCATATGAGAGTCCATGGCGGTTCTTTGACGTGACACAGCTCGATATCGATCATCGACAACGATCGGGCCCTGCCGCGATGTTGTCGAATACCTGTGATTCAACTTGGCTCGAGCTTACCGGAGAGAATGTAAAATAAATAAATTTGCGACAGACGATGCTCGTAGGAGTTCTGCCACCTGACTGACTCGAATTCGCGAAGCGTCCACGTGAACGCTTTTGTTATTTAAGGGCTTACATTTGGATATTTTTTTAAAACGATACATAAGACAAGTAATAATCGCAGTATGTGCTGTATTTGGCATTAGGAACTTATTCAAGAATTCATTATACTCATCCCCTTCATCGTGACAGCGAATCGAAGGAAACGAATAAAACGGGGAACGTCGGCACCGTTGTATTTTAGAGATTTTTTGGACTTGTAAAATCTCCCACGATCGTTCGTTTATATGCTACGAATTATTACAAACAGGTCAGGATAGGTGAACAGGGTATCGCAGTTTTAGACCTACAGCATCCACCACAGCACCGTTGATTATTGTACAAATATTGTATTTATTATAATTATTATTAATTATAATATTAATGTTGCTGTTTTTACCACCTTCAATTTTCATCATGTGGCTTTTCTTTGTCAGTTTGCTTCTTTTTTTTGTAAAATGAAGGTGTTTTGGCGCCATTTTGATAAAAAAAAAAAAAACGATTCTCTCTCTCTTTCTCTCTCTCTCTCTCTTTCTATATATATATAATATATATAGAATATACGCTATATTCTATATATATATAATATATAATATATATATAATATTCGTATGAGAACAACTGATTAAAAAACAGATGAATGAATATGTGAGTTTCTTTTTTTTTTTTTTGTAATCCCACAGCATCAGGACCCACGTTATTTCTTTGTGGGAAGAGGGGGTGAGGAAAAGGAGGCTTCATGTTGCTGGCTAGTTGGTAATTAAGTGGGTAGATATTGGTTCATGAACCCTCACATTAATTTGCCTCTTTTTCACAATTAAAACTATATAAGAACAACTCTGTCTTCTTCATTAGAGTAGCATCTCTTCTTCACTCGTCAAAATTCTCTCGCTCGCTCTCGTTCTCTCTTTATATATAATGATGTATTTATAAGTAATAATATTCTTGAAAAAAAAAAAAAGTATGTATAATGTTTCTACGTTATGTACTGGTACGACTGTGCAAAGACGAGTTGGCCCTCACCTCTATAGAGTCCTCTAAATAAGCATGCAGCTTCCTGGACCATCTCGTCGCGCTACAGACGTACCTCTAGTATTTGTGTACGTAGCGTATTCTATTTAAAAATGTATAATGTCATCTCTGTCACGCTGTATGTGTCTGTAATGCTTTACGTTTTTTTTTTGTTTACGTCTCTCTCTTTCTTTCTCTCTCTCTCTCTCTCTCTCGCTCTTGCTCTCGCGCTCGCTCGCTCTCTCTCTCTTTCTCTCTTTCTTTCTTTCTTTTTCTCTCTCTCTCGTTCGCTCCTACATCGCCTCGTATTATCGATCAAGTGTTGCTTGGTAATCTGATCTCTACATCAGTTGGAATGGTTTTTCATTCGCTTGAAAGCTTCAAAGCAAAAAGCTCGTGTAAGGTTGCATCCCAGAGGCATCGATGAATACCAAACGATTCAGTCTATGTTTTTTTTTTCTCTTTTCTTCCGAACAATTTTAAATAACAACGAAACTCTTCCATTTTTTTTTTGTTTCTTTTTTTTTTTTTTATCTGGCATATCGACCGCTGAGAATAGAAAATTAATTATCTATACATATATCACTTCTCGCAATTTGTGCCCCGGCGGAAACACGGGATACACAGTGTGTTCAAGTTCAACGCTTCGCGACCGCATCTCATCAAATTTTGGAATTACATAATAAGAAATGAATGACCAACGCCGTTATTCCGGGGTTAACCTGTAGTTCTAACGAAATCATATAAAAAAGAACCGAATAGATATGTGTGTCTCTAAAATAGATCTTTCATACTCTTCTTCTCTCTCTTTTTTTTTTCCATTTTTTTTTATTTTTTTTTTTTATTTATTTTTTATTATTTACTTATTATCATCGCTTTTTAATAATTTTTCTCAAAAAATTTTCCATTTTCTTTTCTTTTTTAATGATTTATCTTTCGATAATATATTCAAGTGTTCGTAACATCGCATTACTTTACTTAATACAATAATTAATCATATTATAATTATCAATTAATAAAACTTGTTTCTGTTCGTTCTATCTTTCGCTCGTGTACTCTTACTTTCTCTCTCTTTCTTCCGTTTACAATTTCACACGCTTAAAGACCGCTAACCGATAGGTATTGTATTTCCTTCGTCGAAATAATAAATGGTTTTTCGTCCCCATCGGAAACACAAATGATACCTATTACATTACGTTTACCTATTATATTACGAATTTCAAATTTCGGATGAAGATGCTGCATTCTTTTACAAAAACGTTAAGGCATTCATGAATGTAACTCGAAAGAAGTACAAAAATAGATGCCACGAAATCAAAGATGACAATGTTCTTCGGTTTATTAAAGTAAATGGTTCTACTATACACTCGCGCATAAAGATTCAATCAACACCAATGAACTTTCAAAGACAGATAGCATTCGCAAAAAGGCGGAAAAACAGTCTTGGTACACAAATTCTTTATATAAATCATTCTCATTCAGAAATATATATCTTTTGTCTACTATTGCTCTTGGTATACATAAAAATATAGCGTTTAATGGAACAGATCACATTTCTGTAACTCAAACATCTGTCGTCCACGTACACCTGGAATCCACTGTAAAACACACGAAGACTTACAACATATTTTTCTTCCTTTTTTTCTAATAATCAAAAGTTCTAAAATTACATTTAACGAAAATTTTTTCTTCCTTTTCACGAACACTGTCTCCTTCGAAGTTTGTTAGTACATTTCATTGACCAACTGGTATCTGAAGACAAACAAACCTTACTTTAATTATACACGAATATGTAAGGCAATTGAAATGCGTCTACTGCATTGATATCGACATTTAAAAATACAATAAAGAAGGCATTCAATTTTGACGAACTTCTACTCAGTACTACCAACGGGCACAGCGAATGCCCCAACGATTACGCACGTTTCCATTTTCTTTTCGCAATGTTTGTTAACCTCTGACCACTTTACTACAAATGAGACATTACTAGTGACATTTTCTTAATTTCTTTCTTTATCACGGTTTTGTCGTGTACGCAGCATTTTCATGGTCACGAGCAACACATAAAAACATGTTTATGAGCAACTACGTTTCGGTTTAAATATAATATACCAAACATTGAGAGTTACAACGTCCACGAAAGAAACAAAGTTTGTCAAAGTTACTGGTGTTGCCAAAATCGTATATGCTCTCGGGAGTATGGTTCTTTCGGAAACAAGAACTAAAATAGCATGCGCGAACCCAAATACAGTGTGGCAAAATAATGCATGACTCGCTAAGAACATGTTTGATCTCATGTTCCAAATGAATTAATATCTGCATAGAAAAATGAAAGATTCCTATTTCGCTCGCGTATGAAATACTTAAAACGATTACGAATGGAACCGATACGAGTAGGGAATACAAAAGAAAACAATTCTGTGATACTTATTCCCTACGTCTCGCGACCTATCGACTGGAAGAGCCATATATCATCGATAAAATTTGCACAGACATTTAGGCTAAACTCGCTTTAACATACTTTTCAACTACGTGCCAGATGTTTTCAACGTCACCCATGTTTGATTTGTACTCTATGACTAGCCAATGTACTTCTCGATGCTGCGGGTATTTGTAGGAAGAACTGATCATGGGCTCGAGGAACTAATACCAATCTTCTCGATCAAAGGTGTTTCGAACTTTGATAGGGAAAAGAAAAAAGAAAGAAAGAGAAATAAGAAGAACGAAATATCGTTTTTTTTTTCCCCCCCACCCACCCCGTTTGCGTTGTCCAGCGTCACGTGCGCGTTAAATACGAAGTGATTTATACAAAATTACGACACAGAGAATTCTTAACGTTTGTCATTCCCACCGCTTGTCATTTCCAACTCTAGCCAGGACAACTCGCAGCACGCCTCTCGTCATCATTACTGCCCAACTGTATTTGGTTTGGTCACAATGTTACATCAAATGCACTATTCCAGGAGCCCACCAAACGCAGACTCAAGCTCGAAACATACACACGGGGCATGCACGCAACACTGACGTACGCAGGCAACCTCGCTCTTTCTCTCCCTCTCATTCTCACTTGTTTTTTTTTGTTTTCACTCCCTTTTTTACTTTCTCTCTTCCCGCCTACCCCCCGTTCTCTCTTTCACTCTCTTGCTCAAGGATGGATTCCCTCGAGTTCCTCGGAAGCAGCGGACATTATTATTTTTCTTTTTTCATTTTTTTGGGGGCACATCGTGCACGACACACGTTAGTCAATCGGCCATTTGTCGTCGGAGGTCGTGTGCGAATGGCTAAGGGAAATTAGATCGGAGGGTGGTGCTGGAGTGGACGTCGGGGGTTCAAGGTCAACGAGGGCTCGGTGCAGGTGGGCTTGGCCGGGGGTCAGGCTCGCTCACTATGCTGTGTGGTATACCGGTTAATCCAGCAGTAGGAGGAGCTGAAGCGGGGCCTCCAGCCCCACCGCCGCCTACCGTTGGACCCGTAGGGCCTGTCGGACCCCCGGCGCCTGCACCGCCTGCAGAGGAGTTCGGTCCGCCACCACCCCCACCACCACCGCCGCCGACGACGGAATGCCCACCAGGAGGTGGGGGTGCAGAATCGTGAGGAGTCGTTGAATGCGCCTGTTGAACGGGCAGCCCCCCGGAATAGTATCCGCCGTTGATCCCCTCAGGGTAGCTGCTGGAGAAAGCGAAAAGAAATTGGCCACTTCGATAAATGCCTTTTACAAAGTGCCCAATCGATCTTAGGAAATCCAAAGAGGTTCGAACGCTTCTAACCACGTTACTTTACACACTCGATTCTCTTTCCGTGTAATACGAGTTAACATCTGCTTGAAAATCTGTTTCTGTAAAAATTACGATATCTTTTTCCCCGGTGTAAGAGAAACAAATGCAACGATACTGAAGTATACCCTACGCTTTTTCTTTTTTTTTTTTTTTTTTCTTGTAATAAGCTGAATAATACTTGCTCGTAGACTGAGTCGCTTCAAGCGTTTTATCGCGACTATAAAACGCTTTCGACTCTTCATCCCGAGACGTCCTTGATAACATGAGTTTTATGGTAAAGATCCAGAAAACAGAAACTTTAAAATATTCTCTTTTCTTTTGCACGGGTTTGGTTAAAAGCAGTCAATAGTAATAGTTGGTTTCACACGTATACATGCCATTATCTTATTACTTTTGTTAGTCTTATATGTTTATAATTCCTTATAATAATGTTATTCGCATCCTGGTATGCCACACTTTAACAAACCACTAGAACATCCTGTTACACAAATGAGTACAGTTTATTGTCTCATAAATAAAGCAATATTACTTTTTGATACTTTCTGTAATGGCAGCATAAAATTTACCACCAATGAATAAAATTCCAGCGATTTTTTATTGTCAGATAACGTTTCCAACCTTTACAGGCCCTCTTCGGATTTCCTGCGTTCGATCTTACATCTAATAAGTATCAACAATATAAAGAACTAAATTTCTCGTCGTTTCATTACGGTTTCTTCTTTATAGCTAGTTCAAGTTAACGATCAGTATTACTAGCATCTGTAAATCACATTCGCTACAACTACTACAAGATTTTTAAAAGTAAAATTCCATTTAAACATAAGCTGCAATACTCGATGTTTGTATAATTAAATACATAAATTTCTGTTTACATAATTTTATTTTTATTTTTGATCTTACAAAATATGTTTACGCCCTTCTTCGTAGAAGTACACGCGAAGAAAAATGAAAACATGTATTAGAACGTCTGAAGAGAACCTGCAAACGGTCGAAACGTTATATTGCAATTTCTAAAAACAGTAGATAATTGTTTATAGAAAAAGAAAAGCTACTAAATCCATATATACCTAAGTTCTAGAGGGAAGAATCAAAAAATAAAAAAAAAAAAATATATGCTCACTTTAAATTGAGATTTACGTTTGAAAAATTAGGCGAAACTGTATGTGTGGAGGAACATTTACACGAATGCTAAATTCTCTACTATAGTTGTGCAGGTTTCAATACCGATTAAAGACAAAATGTTCAAAAAAGAAAGCCTCGGTATAAAATCTTCTCAAGCTCAACAATAACAAACAAACTGTTTAATTAAGGGTTCCTTCACACGTACAAATAGCGATAGATGTTTTCCATACATGATTTAACTCTCGCGCCAAAAACTCACCATCTAGTAACCTACCCTATTTTCGCCTAGCTCGACTGTATTATACTTCCATCTTTGTAAACACGCGTGCAATAGCTTTAAAAGTTTCTTGTAAATATCAATTTCAATTTAAATTCAACCAATGCATAATGTCCTACTTTACACGAAACAAAATTATAACATCCCTACAGAAAGAAGTAACTATAAAAAAAAAGGCAAACCTGCCTTATAATTAATTCTAGTTTTCAATTAGCGGTATATATAATTATGCTTAGATATCTCAAAAATAAAAAAGTACACATGTAAATCTCTCTTCTCGTTTTTTTTATTCGTCATAAAAATATATATATTATTTTCTTAATGCGTATATATATATATATATATGTTGCGCTCCACATTTTCAGTATTTATAATTTTCAAAAATATTGTAAAGTTCCTTATTTAGATCTTCATCATAAAACTCATGTACCGAGGACGATTCAATACCCAGAGTCGAAAACGTTTTACAATTACAATAAAATGCTGGAAACAACTCAATCAACAAACAAGTTTTATTTAAACACAAGCATGAATCAACATCATCAAGCTGAATAATAGTTCTCTTATTAATGTGAACAGATGCTTACCCGGTCGAGGAAAGGAAGTATTCCTTGTTCACACAGTTTCGCAAGCAATCAGGTATGCGACCGACAATGGCTCTTCGTATCTCACTGGCTGCCATCTCACGAAGCTCGGTGCAACTTGCATCGCTGTAGAATGCTGCGTGTGGCGTACACAACAGATTGGGTGCATCTTTCAAAGGACCTGCGATGCAAACAGATATCCGTTCGATTAGTATCGTTTCGATATTAACGAATCAAATCGACATTTCCGTCTGCTGTTTATAGTAAAAAAATTCGATCTTAATGTAGTCAAAGCGTATAAGTATGCGATATTTTCACGATAATACAAATGATTCGTTAACGATCTCATTAACGTTGAACAAGATACTTGGTTAATGAATCATAAAGGAAACGTAGTCGTCAACTTCGAGCATTTAAGTACGAAGGCATTTTGGGAAACGACACAATCGGAAATCTGTGGTAATACTAATATCGTACCAGATAGGGAATTATTTTGTACCTAACCATTTTGATATCTACGCTAAGGTGGTATCGATATATATCGATTTTCGATACTGATACTTCTCTAATGAATAACGATCGATAAAATGTACCACATAAAACGAGTTAGGCATTGATAATAAATGTATAAGAAATACAGAACTGTCTAGTCGTCCGTCAAACACGAAATGAGCACTTAAAAATATATACAACATCGAGTAATAACCTCAAACGATTATATTTCGTATCTACTTAAGATTGTATCCGATTAAATGCCGTTTCTTATTATGCGTCGTTCCAGTTTTGTTACTAGTTATATGATACCTCCGATTCGCGTGCTCGATATATCAATCAACAATGAAGGAGGACCAGGAAGATGAAGGGACATATTAGTTAGCATGAAGGGGGTTAGGTATGGACAGATAAAACTCACACTGCGAGGACTGACCCTGAAAGACGTTGTATGGCTCATTTTCGTGTACATCAAGTGCTGCTGCACGAATTCTGCCTTGTTTCAGCGCTGCGGCTAATGCGTCATCGTCTACCAGACCACCTCTTGCTGTATTGACTAAAAAGGCGCCGGGTCTCATCTGTAACATAGATCGTAAAGTGAACGAAACACAACTCTGTATACGCTTTATAGAATTTGTTTAAAAAAAGAATCCAAATATGCAAATAAAAAAAAACAACTAAAAATCTAAATTATACGAAAACTTTTTGCATCTATTGTACCTGTTTGATAGTGAATTCGTTAATTAGATGATGGTTGTGCTCGTTCAAGGTACAATGCAGGGATACACAATCTGACTGGAATAGTAGATCCTGTAATAAAACGCAATCGAAGTATTAGACATGTGCACGAGCTGTTTCATTATAACAAAAACCAAAATTAATATCGAACCTGTAACGTGTAGACCCTGTTAAGACCAAGAGATTTTTCAATTCCATCTGGTAGATAGGGATCATAAAAGATGACAGTGAAGCCGAACGCTTTGGCACGCAGTGCAACCGCGGAACCAATCCTACCCAACCCAACTATTCCAAGTGTGTCACCCCGTATCCTTGCACACCCTGTTGCTGCTTCCCTGACCTAACGTATAAACATCGAGATTAATTAGATAGAGTCGTAACAAGACGGAGATCCACAAGATGTACGCATTTGAGAATATCTTACCTGTTCCGGGCCTGTGAATTTTTTCCCTTCGCGTACCATATTTGCCAACCAATATGTACGCCGATATAAATTTAAAATGAGGCAAAGGGTGGTGTCAGCTACTTCTTCGACGCCATAACCAGGCACATTGCACACAGCGATGCCAAGTTCTCCTGCTGCCTTGACATCTATGTTATCTACCCCAGATCCAATTCTTACAATGATTCGTAAAGTTTTGAATTTCTCAAGATCTTCTTTTGTCAAAATTATGGTGTGCCACATTAACGCACCTACTGCTTCGTTTAGTACCTATAGAACGAGAACGGTTGTGTCTTTTTTTATAAAATTTTATGAAAAAAAATATATCCTTTCCACGATCGAAATTATATTTAGCGTTATATATATTTGAACACAAGCAATTTACCTTTTCATGAATTTCAGATGTAGACTGTGCATCACAGAAGGCCACAGTTGCAACATCTTTAAGGATAGGCATTTCGATAGAACAGTCTCGGCCATCTAACAAAGCCACTAACGGTCGTGTCTGAATGGGTCCATTTGCAATAGGACCCCTCAGGTTCTCCATTCGAGGGCGTTTGGGCATCATCTTCCGTTTGTCCATCGGTCAAACAGCCCCCCCAATTGTTATATTTTTCACTTGTACTCTCAGTGTCACTAAAAATATTTGTTTTCTTCCAATGAAGTCCTATTGTCCACTGGTAAGGAAGCCTCTTCGTATGTCTTGAAGTATGATTTTGCACTTTTATGCTTTGTCACACAAATTGCTTTTCTAACACTGATTTCTGGTCGGTTTTTGGACAAGGACCGCCGAACCTCCAACGCATCACGACTTGTTGAACACCGTCTCCTGAAAATTGAATATATTCAAATATTTAAAATAAATCATTAAACTTGTTCTTGATTATGTTGCTAATGTAATGACAAATTATCAGAATAATTGCAACAGAACCATAAATGTTATTTCTATTCGCTTCATTCGACTGTATCAACATTTGTAAACAAACTTGTTACAGCAATTGATAAAACACATTTTGCAACTAAGGTAAACAAAACAAAGTTAAACACATAATGTTTGACAAAGTTTGGAAAATAATAGAAGCGCAAATAAAAATGAAAAAAAAAATCTGAAAAGGATTCGTTAAAACGTTTATGCAAATATATTATCTACGTAAGCAAAAATTTCACTAAAGAAAAAAATGCAATACGCATAAAATACGGACTTTAGATTAATAAACATACATTTCGACGCCTTCATGAATTTCTTCATGGAAGAGAAATCCATGCGATACGCATAATTACAAACGTTTCGCACATGAACGCGATATCGTGTGCTCGAAAATCTATCGAGATCCACGAAACACCGACATTTAATTATCCGTGAAAATTTTACGTTACTTTACGTTACGAAAAGGGAAACACTTAACAGCGTGTACAAAACCGAACGTTTTAGGTTACCTTGAAACGCGCCGGCTTAACCTGCGCACTGCGTTGTGTTCAGCACAGTGAAAGAAACGCTCGGAAAACGTAAGAAAACCCAAGAACACAATGTCCGTGTTTTAGCAAACAAAAATACATACGAACTTCCTACACTTGGTTCCTAAACAGAGGAATTAAAGAATCGCACAGAACACACCGAACATTGAGAACAGAATTACTAGCTGGGGCAAATGTTTTCAGAACTGTTAATAGAGTGCCTGGCGTTGGTTAGTGGGTCGACATTTTCAGCCCATTTTCGGCAGGAATTGTAAACCAATCATAGTGCGTTCGCACGCTTGATATACCGATCAACTGTTCGATAACCCATAAATACGGGCTTCCAGAATATTTGTTTATGCTAAAATGTTTACTACGCAAGCAACTATACGAAAACAGAAAAATATGCTGGATCAGCGTCGATTTAGTGCCCCGGTGCTTTTATATGGCGGAACGGAAAAATGCTGAACCAGCGAAGTTCCATAAGAAAGTAGAGAAACTGACACGTGGCGCCCTCGTCAGACGCCGTCACCACGCAATACTTAACCAAGATCATCAAAAATAAATCAAACTTCTAACAAGAAAGTACTTCGATATGGTACTTTTTACGATCGAAATAATCGAAATTGTAATATTCTCTGCACGGTGTCAAAAAACATTGATCGATCGAAAGTAACTCGGAAAACTTTCTCTGTCCCATAAAAGGAAAATTCAGCAACTTTGTACGATAAAATTTAGGTCGAATATATCAAGCACGAAGAAACAAAATTTCCTATCGAATCGATTACATTTAAAATTCAACCGATCGAAACCTAATTACTTTTGAAAGATTTAAAGATTTTCTCTTGCTCGTTCGCAGGTGCGATACAGATCGAAATCCGCTAGTTACGAGGCGTTTTCAGAGATTTTGTCGACGGTTGCAGTCAGTCTGGCCCACCGAAGCGGGAACATTCCATGTGATTGGTTTAATACGAGATAAATGATACACATTAAGATTCGTTCACGCACGGCCGTGACGGGAAAGATGAGCAGAGGAGGAATGTTTGATCTGCCGGTCAATACACGCAAGTAATCGGAAACACAACCCGCGGAGAAGGCTACAAAATGAGATCGCTGCTAGCCTCAGCGAAAGCGAGGATGCGATACTAACGCAGAGTGCAAACCCAAGCACTTTGACTTGGGCACATGTTGTGCCAACTCAGCGAAAATGCTGCAAGCTCATATCATCAAAAGGAGGAGAGGCAAGGAGGCGAGATTAAGCCCTTGTTCGACAGCTGGCAGCGTATATCATACGTAATACACGGTTAGTGGCAGGGAGAGCAATGTGTCGAGGAAGTGCGCTCAGAAAGAGACTTGTAACGCTGTATTTACTATACGCGGTTGCGCGCGGTTAACTAGTTAGAACAAGAATGCACTTAGCATTATCGTACTAATTATTTTAACGCAATAACAATTTTATAGTTAATTTACCTAAATCGGATACGTTTGTTTTTGTTTACAAGGCCTTTGAAATAAAAAAAAAAAAAAAAAAACACCTGTTGTGTCACGAATCGTACGCTAGACTCTGAAATGAGAGAGATCAAATACCAGACACCGCCTCGAGCGTGAAATATCAACATTTACGAATCACGAGGCTAATGGTACTGTGGTTTTACGAACCACGGGAGGGTTCATCGAAAGTTATCAAGACGTTTTCGAGCAAGTTAAAAATTCATCGGGCTTTTAAAACGAACGTTTCGGGTAAGCGGTTGAATTCAACCCTTTAGCTTAATCTTGGGTGTGCAACAGAGTTTTTCGAGTTACAGATACAACGACGAAGGATGGTAGGGAGAGGGGGGATCGGGCGGCGTGGCAAGGGTGGGGCGGTGAAGCTGCTGTGGTGGGATGGGGAGCTATGAGGGCGAAGTTATCCAATTATTGTCTAACCTGGGAGCAACTTTACTTGGCGGAGAACCATTGGTGGAAGGGAAGCTCGTTCTGCCGGCTCTCTTTCTCTCTCGCTCTCTCACTCCCTTCCTACAATCGAGCCACGATAAAGTAAAGTTTGTTTCAAAACTTGCCGCGCGGAGAGGTGACTAGGTTTTTGTTAGTGACACGTGAAATTCAAACGACTTCGTTGCGATAATAATCGCGGCAAGTTTTTTATGTTAAACGATAGGAGAATTAAAACTCGAGAAAGGCCTCGCAAATTAAGTTGACGGTTCGTTAATAATAGGCTCGCGAAACTTTCTCGGTGGGATCGTTTAAGAAAACTGTACCGTTTGGAATCGACGAAAAGAAACGTTGTTCCGACTCTTTACCATCGAAATTATATTTGAATTGTAAATAAATATTATACGATAAACACTGACGATTTTAATAAACGCAAAATCAACCGTAAATACGATTAAATCACTGTTGGGCATTGTTCAAATTTTTTAGTAATTTGTGTTGAATTTATTAATAATTATCCTGATTAACACGTTCACTGCCAGATTAAAACATTGTAAGCTACATAACCTAAAATTTGTTTCGGTACTTATTTTCGTAACCTTGTTAAAATTCAGAAATTCTATTCTAACTTGAGAATGAATTTTTCTAGTATCATAGTGGTAGTCAAAGTGTTAAAAGAAAAAGCTGCGTGTTAATGTAACCATCAACGTGACGGATTTGAACAAGAAACATGTGCAATCGATGCCCGTAAGCCTTTAAACTTGGCGAGCATCGACTGCGATTCCGCAGTCTGTTAAACGCGTACAATAAACAGTACGCTTAAACAAAACGGCCGTTACAAAAGGTAGCGAGAGTTTGCTCTAAGTTGCGCGAAACAAAAACAAAAATGAGAAAAAAAAATAGAAGGGAGAAGGAGAAGAAACTCGTCCAATTATAATGACGAGTATCGGTGTCGGCGTTCGTGCATTCTCATCCTTGGCCACGACGGAATGGTCGGGAAAGGGGTAAGGAGAGGGGCTGTTGCTCCGTACCTTCCGCCTCCGCGTACGTCTCTCCAGCGGGCAGCGGGCGAACGGCCATGAGTGCAGGAAGGGAGACGAGAGGAGGGAGAGGAGAGGCGACTACTTAAAGTTGGCGGAAAGTTTGGTTCGGCAGCAAAGTTAACTCAGTTAAGTTCTCCGCTCCTAAAGCGAAACTTCGGTTCTCCAACGCCTGCCTGCCTGCTCTTGCCCTCCATCCTCTTCTCCCTTTCCCTCCGCGCCATCCCTTTCTCTTTCTCCTTTCGTCTCGCGCTTCGTACAGTCTTGGCTATCCCGACCCATTCTACCGGTGCTGCGGGAATAAGTAATGTGTTTTGGAATTACCACTGTTCCGCGAGCTTTCGCATAGAAAATCGATCGCCATTGACCGACTGGAATATCACTCTCGTTTGGTTATACAGACGCACGCGTCAATTTGTGACCGCGCGCGAAGCGAAACGGTTAGCGGTCGGAAATAACATTTTCGACTGTACAGCGCACGCATCTGCGTGCAGAGGAACGGACGAAGGGGGGTGGGAGAGGGGAGGGGGGTCTGTTTCCCCGAACCGCGAGTGTTTGAGAAGAATTTAACGACGCTTTGTCGCGATTTGCTCTTTCCGCCGTTCAGTGGACGACGCGAGTTACGCTCTTCGAGTCGGTTGATTTAAAGCTTGTTCGCCGTAACCGTAAAACGAAACAGAGAATTGAAACGAAACTGTAAAAAAAAACAAAAAAAAAGGAAAGCAAAAGTGACTAGGAAACGACTAGGTGAAACCCGTACACTTCGAAATGTTTCAGGAAGAAGGATGTTCTCTCCCCCGCCTCTCTCTTTCTACCTGAACTCTCCCCGCCACTTTAAGCGGCGATCGAAATTCCAAGACAAAGTTTGCGAGATTCTGAGGAAAGTACGAGTTCGCTTTAACGTTCATCGTTGCCCTTCTTTGCACATACGCGTGTAGAAGCTTGTAAGCATCGTTTTGTAACAGATACCAGTCAGCATGGCCGAGTACTGTCCCTCCTTTGATGGCATGCCAGAGCAAAAAAAGAAACCGGTCCAGTCGGTACTTACGAGGAGGTTTATCTTTCAGGGTTCGCGTATGTGGTTCGGAAAGAAGTTACGAGCGTTCTCCCGCGAAGAAAAAAACATTCGCTGCACCGGCGCGCTCCTGGAGAAAGATCCAGAAGTAACAAAAATATATCGTTTTAACTGTTCCGAGCGAACGGCGTCGCAAAGTATTCCAAACCGTTGCATAAAACCGATACCTACGACTGATTTATTACCGTCAATATAGCAATTAGTACGAAATGTTAATTTTCTGCGTTATATTATAACGTGAACGTTATCTTTTTTGCTCCAATCGGATTCGATATCGATCGATTGTTTTTGCAGTAAATTTAAAATGAAATTAAACACGTTCCTGAG